GAAAAAAATAAAGAAAATTATTGCTTTATACATATTAAGAGGTTTTTGTGAAAATTCATAAACAAATTCGTGAGCCTGATAAAGAATGGATAATATCATACTAGTATATATATATATATATATATGGAATTAAACAAATCTTAACAAATTGATATCAGAGCAAAGTTCAAAAGAAGTTAGCATGTGGCCGGAATTGATTGGGGAAAGTCTTAAACCTTTGGTAATTGGGTAAACTGTTTTTAGTATCGTAATTGGACCCCCTTATCATTTTAGTCCCGTAAGTGGAGCCTGTCGTAAACTAGTCCCATAAGTGAAAAATTTTCGCTGTTTTAGTCCTCCGGCGCCGAAGATGCCTGCGTGGCTCGCCGGATGTGACGTGTCCGCCAGGTGTCGCTGACCTGGCGGACACGTGGATTTATTTATTTTTTTTTTCATTTTTTTAATTTTTTTTAAAAACTTATTTTTAATTTATTTTTAATTTTATTTGTATTTTTTTATTTGGTCCAATTAAAAAAAATTAAAAAAAATGAAAAAAAAAATCCACGTGTCCGCCAGGTGCCGCTAACCTGGCGGACACGTCACCTCCGGCGAGCCACGCGGGCGTCTCCGGCACCGAAGGACTAAAACAACGAAAATTTTCACGTATGGGACTAGTTTGTGACAGGCTCCACTTACGAGACTAAAATAATAAATGAGTCCAATTACGGGACTAAAAAAAACAGTTTACCCTTGTTAATTTTATGATTGAAATATGTGTTTTGTGTCTTTTATTAAAAGTCTTTCCGATGTTATGATGTTCAAACAACGGATCCCTTTGATGAATAGAATATCACTATAGAGGATAGACTGTGGTTTGAAGGGATAATTTGTTGGGGAAACAAACCCAAATCCTATATCAATTGTGAATTTGTACCCGGATAGTTGTTGTTTATCGAATAAACCTCGTAAACAAATATACTATTTATTGGTGGAAGCAATAATTGATTAGGGAAGATTAACTTAAAAAAAAAATCATCTACGTTCGATTAGCGACCAAATGAATTCCGTTGACGAGATCGAATGAGAGACGTACTCTAAACTAAGGCGGCGGTCGACAGCAACTACCGGCGGACGGCTGCTTCAGGCAGCATTTAAAATTTTTTTTAATAGGATAAATTGCATGATACTTTCGTGTATTTTAGTAAAAATATACAAAATATATCGCATGTTATTTATTGCGTGACCCTCGTATTATGCTAAAAATATATACAAAACACTCAATTCGTCCTGAACTGATGTTTAATTTAATTATAAACACATCTAATTATGCAAATTTTATACAAATAAAATACTTAGGGGTTGTTTGGTTCATGGACTTTTTTGGTGGATTGAGATTTCAGACTAGGATTTATATGTGATGGGATTTATTGTATTTAGGATTTGGAATCCATATTATGTTTGGTTGGTAAAATGTGGTGGGATTTATATTTCGTGGATTTGGATTATTTATATTCTAAATGACATAATTGTCCTCTTATAAAATTGATTTATTTTGATAAATTAAACCTTTAATTCATTATTAATATAAATTAAAAATATATCAATAATTTTATAGGATGACAATAGATTCGCGTAAACTCGAGACCTGACCGAGCCCGACCTATTTATTTGAAGTTGAGTCCAATTATTTGAGTATTAGGCCTGGATCCGGGTCATGATCAGGGTAATATAATAATAATATATCAACCATACATATGAAAAAATAATTTCGAATAACATAATTATATTAAAAATATTTTTTATGTTTAACGTATTTATTATTTTATTATAATAATTTTCTAATAAAATACATAAATTTTAATATATATTGGATCTCGTATATGTGTAATTTTAAATTAAAATTTAAGAATTGTAAAAAAAAATGGATTTTTTGGAACCATCAAGTCTTACCGGCTATAGTCTCGGTCGGATCTAGTATAATCGGATCGAATTTGAATCTCGGATTTAACAATATATATTTGGGATGAATATCAGTTCCGACTGAACCCGACTTATGGTCGTCCCTATAATTTTATAATTCAAATAAAATTTATAATAAATAATAATTTAAACAATAAATTTATTAATTTATTTAAAAAGTATTGTACAATAAAAAATAATATAAATTTAATTAAATATATAATTTAAATAATAATTAATTTTAAAATTATTTAGTTTTTTATATAAATATAATACTATTATTTTTTTATAAGATGATATAAATGTAAAAATTAAAATTTCAAGAATGTGATTTAAAAGTAACAGGGTATCCCGTTACAAAAAAATCCCTTATTTGTAGAATTTTAGCCCCATTTTTCAAATCCTATCATTTTAAATTCTACCTTCCTTTTTTTTAACCAAACATGAATTTTATGGAATTTTAAATCTAAATCCCATTAAATCCTTCAATCAAACAGCCCCTTGAAATATCTTAAACAATCTTATGTGAATAAAATAAATAATTGATAATTCTTCATTTTTATATATTTCTTTTGTAAATATTAGGTAACAGTTTGTCTTAAAAATGATTGAATGAATCGTTGAGAATTTATTTAGTTATTTATTTTATTAAAAAAAAATACTATTTAAGATATTTTATTGCTTTTCTATGTCTAAAATATGTAAAATTAAGTGTGTATTTACAATCAAACATCAATTTTGTTAAAAATCTTGTGATTCGATCTTCATAAATGTGAATTTGGTTTACTATTTCTTTTGTGCTATGTCTCATATAGTCGGATTGATTTCGAATTGAATGTGAAATTTTAATATTTAATTAATGCTATTATATATTTTAATAATTATTGATATTACCTGAATTTATAATATTATATCGTTCTCATTTTTATTATTTTTTATGTTTTAATTATTCACAATTTTCAATATATTTATCTTTAAACTTACAAAATTTTCTTGGCAAAGTACACCAATATCACCGTGATTGAAAATATATAATCAATATTGGGATTGATTGAGATTTTTAAATTTTGAAGTATTTGAGTTTTTTTATTATATCATATTAAAATGCCCCATAAAATAATATTTTATAAAATAAAACATATTTTTTTGAATTGGTCCCGAACCCGATGAATTTAAGGTGACGCAGGTTGCCGAGGTGGGCTGAATTGGCCATCAAATCTTCTATTCTCATTTTTCCTATTCCTTCTCTTTTCTCCAATAAAAGGTTGTCACATGTAAGGAGAGAAAAGAAGTTATCTTTTTTTTTTTTTTTTTTTTTTTTTTTTTTTTTTTTCTGTTATTATTTTATTTACTTACTAGTTTTTTAAAATAAAATAAAAATTATATTCTATCTCAATTTTTATTATATTATTTTTTTATAAAAATTATTATTTTCTCAAGATATTACACTTATTATTTAGATTCAATAATATTTTAAAAAAAATTATTTGAATTTGGTAGTGATTTTTATTTTGGATATAATATTTTATGTTTAAATAATAATTATTTTTTTAAAAGTAATGTAAGAAATAAGTTAAATTAAAATTTCATATTATTTTTTATTTTATTTTTAAAGAAAATATTTTAATAAATAAGCAAATATTTAGATCATAAATTTTAATATTTTTCCATAAAATTTCATATAAAATATCATTATAAAATTGTGTTTAAACAACATCTGAATATTATATTTTAAAAATATAATAATATATTTTTTTTATGGTAAAATAGAAATATAATAAAAATTAAAATAGAAAAATTATGAATGAAATTTTATTAAATGTATTTTTTGAAAAAAAAAAAAAAAGCAATAGAATTATAGTTAAAAAGAAATACATATTCTCTCTCATCCTCGTATCCACGTGACTCTATTTCATTGGAGGGAACAAAGATAATAGAGAGAATTGAGTATAGAGAATTTGATGCCGCTTAAGTGAGTGTTAAACTTTGAACTAATACTTAATTATTTTTTTTTAAGTATATATATATATATATATATAGTAAGTTTGATTATGCTAGATATTATAAATATAGTTAAACTTACATTTATATATATATATATATTAATATCTGTACATCGAATTAAAAAAATAAAACAAAAAAGAAATCTTTGTACATAAAAAATGATCGATTACGATTTAAATACAATTATTTATTTTTGAGTATATGTATAAAATGAAAATATGTACGCTGTTAAAAGACCAAATTAGTAATAGTACCCTAGCCTTCTCGATATATTTTTACAAATATTCTTTATTTAATGACTTTAGTATTAAGAAATTAATTATTTAACAATCGGGATCATCGTTCGTTCCCCGCCTACTTTTAATTAAATGCATGTGTCTTTTCTTAGTAATTGAGTTTTGGATACATATATCTTATGGGTTCAGTTATCCTATTCTGTACTGTGCTTTTTTTATACCGATCAATCAACTTCTACTATGTATATTTTAATTTTTTATTTTAAAAGTACACGTAGCGGAAGATGATTGGTCTGTATTGTAAGAAATACAATACATTAGAGGTTGGGTAATTGAAGCCATATATATTGTTTGAAAATATATTTGTCGAAATTTGAGATATGACGAATTCCAAAAACACAAAATCAGTAGATGCGAAATCAAATCCGAGCCTCGCGTGGAAACGAATTCGGCCTTCCACCGATCGTCTCCCATAATAGAACGAATTATCAACGGAATAACCGATTCCGCAAACCGAATTAGAAACCTTTTGATTGGAAGAAAATTTGGAGAGAATTTTTTAACATTTAGAAGGAAGATGTTTTTTTTTGTATTCTGAAAAAAGAAAGAAAATATAATATATTCAGATTATTTTGCATTTAACCACGTGTAGAGGAACAAACTGTCAACAAACTATTTTATTTGATTATTTATTTATTTATTTTTTCAAATCAAAATAAATTAATCAAATAATTTGTGGGACAAATAATTTATTTCTTTTTCACCGATTTAATTAAATAACCTATATATATATATGTTTACTCACTGACTCATAGGAAAGCTACTACATTATGGGAACGCAACCACGAGCCGACAACAACTTGGAGCCGCGGCTTGAGCCGAACAAGATCGTCATGGTGACTGGCGCGTCGTCGGGGCTCGGTTGGGAGTTCTGTCTCGACTTAGCCAAAGCCGGATGTCGAATCATAGCTGCAGCCCGGCGCGTCGATCGCCTTCACTTACTATGCAATCACATCAATGAAAAGTTTCCAATCACTTCCTCGGCCGAGCCGAGCCAAATTCAAGCAAGAGCCGTCGCGATGGAGTTCGACATCACTAAAAACGAGCCAAATATTGAAGCTTCTGTAAACAAGGCTTGGGACTTGTTTGGAAGAATCGATGTTTTGATCAACAACGCTGGCATAAGAGGTAAAATAGCGATTGCAATTTCTACTATTTGCAGATCATTTAGGCTGTGTTTTTTTGTGAGTTTTACCATAGTTTTTTTTGCTAATTCAGATTCTTTTTTTCCTCCAAAAGTATCACATTAAATAATTATTTTTCTTTTTTTATATTATACTAAAAATTTATTATAATTCAAAACATCACATCAACCTCTATTTATATCACATCAAACAACTATTCAACTTCAATTTTTTATTATTCAAAATTCCAAACCCAAAAACTAAAACTCACAAACAAACACACCTTAATTTATTTTTTTTTGAAAAATTTGAATAATAATTTGAATGTCGAAAACTTTGCATTCTCATTTTTTTTTTGGCGAGAAAGGGCGTAAGCATGCTCCGTTGGATTTATCGCAAGAGGAATGGGACAAGATTATTCGAACTAACCAAACCGGGACGTGGTTGGTATCCAAGTACGTGTGTCGACGTATGTGCGATGCTCGCCGAGGAGGGTGCATTATCAATATCTCGACCCTTGGGCTCAATCGCGTAATATTTCCCGGTGGGGATGCCTACGCCGCTTCTAAATCCGCCGTCAACACAATCACCAAGGTCAGTGTTAGACTGATGGAATTCAATACTAGTATAATATTATTCGTTTTAAGCTGAATTCGTACAAATTTGCTTTTAGATTTCTCCAAAAGGTTTCATACCGATGTAATACTTAAATTTAGATTTCTCCAAAAGGTCATAATATATAATATATATATATTTTTTTAAAAAAAAATGTAACAATTGCTTCGAAAATTCCGAAGCTTTTGGAAATAGTTGTGGAAAGTCTGAAGCAACATAAATGGCAGCTAGTTTTTCTCTTCATGTATGATTTCGAGATAAAATCCGAAGCCAAAATTAATTTGCCTCACAACTCTTTTAAATTCTGAAGCAATTTTTCCGAAGCTATTTTAATAAATTCTAGTAGTGTAACTTATAATCAATATATATCATTTGGAAAAGGGTCCAACAATTGCTACATGAAATCTTTTTTTTTTGTGTCTTGTGTTGAGATTTGCTCGATTCATGAATAACACCATCGGTGTCGGGGTGTGTAGATTATGGCGAAGGAGCTCGGACCGTACAACATTAGAGTTAATGCGATTGCTCCCGGATTGTTCGACTCGGAGATAACTGGTAAGCTGATGCAGAAGCCGTGGGTTGTGAGTATGGTGGCGAAATTAGTCCCGTTAAGCACTTTTGGAACGGTTAATTCAGCGTTGGCGCCGCTTGTGAGGTACTTAATCGACGAGTCGTCTCGATATGTGACCGGTAATGTTTTCATCGTCGACGGCGGTCACACTTTAGCCGGTGTCCCTATTTTTTCATCTCTTTAAAGCCAAGTCTTAGTTATAGGGAAGCTTTGAGAGTAAGGTTGTATAAATGTACTTACGAATGTTCCTGTCAGCTATAGATGTCTCTTTTGTATTATTTATTTTAGTTTAGTCCGAACCTAGTATATATATCCTTGTACTCTTATTTTCGTAATAATACAATTTTATAATTTTTCCACAAATTCAAATGGTTAGTTTATATATATATATATATATATATACTCAAGTCAAGTTGAATCCACTTTTCCGTTTTCGAAATTGTATTGATGTCATTTCGAGCATGATTTACTAATCGAAGAAGTTGTAGTCGTTAGAAAATATTTATATGTGAACTCAAGCTCAAATTTGAGACTTAATTCTGTGATTTTATATAACATTATATTGTTTCACTCTTGCTAAAACATCGTATCTGTCCCGTTGGAAGGGCGGCGTTTGCTTTTTGCACGTAGATTTTTGAATATTAGTATTATATTGGATTATAGTAAAAAAAAAAGACAAAAATACTCCTATTAGTATGGTGTAATATAAAAGTAATGACATTTGTGTAATATATTGTAAGTTGAAAAAGTATTTATTATGTTAAGTAGGTAGTACAATTACTAAATTAGGAAATGGTAATCTTGTTTTGGGACGGACGAAAATGAAAAATAATAACCTTTCAATGGGACGGAGGGAGTATCATTTTCGAATAAAAAAACTAGTTTGTTTTCTCAAAATTTTCTTTCCAATACGGTTTTCAATATATATATTTGATCATATCACAAAAAGTCAATATTTAATAAAAAATATTATTTTTATATTACAGAGACGATTTCTATATTTTATATCGAAAAATAATTCTTCGAATCAAAACACTAAACAAAATAACCCTAAATTAGAATGAATTAGGAGAAAAAATAAAAATAAAAATCACAGCTTTTAGCTAATATATATATATAGTGGTGTCAATTTTTTTTTGTTGTGTTGGTTTGAAATATAAGTATAACAAAAAAAATCTGTCAATTAATTCGAACCCGAATTTCAATCCGAAACTCTAAATCTGAATATGACACAATTTTTTAGGTCAGATTTAGGTTAACTTAATTTTGTTTCAGATCAGTCAATAACTCGAACAAAGCTGACATAAAATAGACCCGAAAACTTGAAAACTAACACAAAAGAAATCCGAAACTAATATTTTAAAGTTATCTAGAAAAACCCGATATCAAATAGATTTAAAAACTTAGTTTTGTGTTTTTATTATTAGTAATTAATTATTTTTTTATAATTTTAAAATTCTTTATATTATTTTTATAATATATTATAATCTCAAATAAATAAAAAATAGTTTTAATTATAAAATTAGGATAAAATCATATCGGGTTTAGATATCAGTTTATTAATTGACCCGATTTCTATTTTTTAGGTTACCGGATCAACCCAAACCCGACTTGATCCACCTCATTTTTATTTTTTTGTTTAAAGTTTAGATTGATCTGATTTTTTTAAAAAAAAAACCCGAAAAACTTGAACCTAAAAATTCAGCTCGAATGAGTTTGATTTTTTAAGTCGAGTTCAATATTGACACCCATATATATATATATATATATATATCTAGAAAAATCTTAATTTAATAATCTTATTAAAATTATTAAGTATTTTTTCGAGCTCAATCTCGAGTAATTGTTTAGAATTTTATTGGACATGGATAAGCATTGAAGTTAAATTTAGAATGCTTATATATAGATAACATTTTATTACAATTCAAGGCTTTATGACACTTTTTACAAGTTTTGTTATTTTGGTGTAATAATTTTTTTTTTCTTTTATTTTTTTTCAGAAAATAGCACATCATAATATTTAATTCCTATAACAAAATATAATACCATCTTCATGTCATAAGAAAGGTAACCTTTGTTTTTTACATCATTATAATTCACATTAAAAATATTTTTACATTTAGATTATAAAAGACTAATATATTATTTTTATTTATTTTTTAATTTATATTATGTATTAATATAATAATTAATATAGAAAAACTTAATATAGAAAACCAACATCGCCTTTCTTTTGGGATGAAAGAAGTATAAAATTGCACGATTTTTAACCTATATTATTTTTATTTAAAAAAATATCATATTAAAATATTATTTTAAATTAAAATAAATAATAAGTCCACAACTGTGCTGTAAATGGAGATGGATAAGCATTGAAGTCAAAATAATGCTTTATAACACGCCTATGATTTGGATAAATTTCATAAATTTCTAAATATGTAATACTCCATCCGTCCACAAACTAATGTCATACTTTCTTATTTAGGACGTTCAACAACTATTATCCTATTTTTTTTTAAAATACACATTTTACATTTTTACCCTTCATTCATTTATTACTTTTAATCTCTACCATACAATTAAGGACAAATTTGTCAATTCATAACAAAAAGACAATCACCTAAAAAATCGTGCAAATATACTTTAAGACAATAGAAATTGGACGAAGGGAGTAGGTACTTTTGTGATAACATGCAATTTATGATAACAATTAAATTTAACCTAAAATAGATGTGAAGTGACACAGTTGTCCTTTTGTAAATAAAACTTAAATTATACTATTTCCGTCCGACTCTAAGGTTATTATTATTTTTTTTTATGTTGATATTTGAATATTAATTATTATATGAAAATATAGTACAAATTAATGGAAAAATGACAAAAATACTTTCATTAATGTCTTATAATACTATTACATTTGTGTAAAAAATTATATAAATATAAGAATATTTTTAATCTTAAGTACAATTACGCGGTAAATGAACTGCTGTCTTAAATTATAATCGTAAATTAAATGTCTTATCTTCTTCCTTATATCGCTGTACTACTTCTTCGTTGTTTTTCATTTTCCTTGCTATCCATGTTTCGTCATTCTTGAAGATGAAAGTGAGATCGATCGAGATAGAATGCTCGACGATTAGCTTATTTATTAGCTTATAGTTTATTCAATACTTAGAGCTGTGAATTAATTGTTTTGGGTTCGGGTGGGATTAAATTTTTAAACGGATTAAATTATTTAATTCAAAATTGACCAATTTATCTAAACGGGTCAAAAGATCGACGCAAACGCGACTCCTTCAAATTCGATCAATCCGAAAATATAATAACTTGTTAATCCATTTAATAAATTTTCAAACATGTTAAATGAACCAATACGAAATCCGACATGACTAACACAAAATTGATTCATTTACCCATTTAATATATTTTTAAAATTAAAATTCCACAAATAAAACAATATTCAAATAATCAATCCCCAAAAGAAATCTATAAGTCAATAAAAAATAGTTTTACATACGCGGTAAATAGTAAAAATTATTAAAAATATTATAGCTATATTGAGCTCTATTTAATAATTAATATTAATAATAATAATAATCAGATTGTGGTGTCGATTTCGAATTGAAGACCTCAAGTCTAACTCAATATGTTTATTATCGTGTCAAATTTGTGTCGACCCATATAGATAATCGGGTCATTCTAGTATAAAAAATTGGATATTTATATTTATTTTCATAAAAAATAATGTTAAACTGTGCATTAGAATCGAAATCGGAAAATACAAATTAAAATCATGACTTATAAAGTTTAGTTTTGGTTTGATCTTTTCATAGTAACATTTTTATTATAATTATTTTTATTCTTTACATGTCATTAAACACTGATCATCTCCCTTATACAAATATTAATAAAATTTTTATTGCATTATTCAGTAATTATTTTAATATATATTTTTTAGTTTTATTATGTTATGATTTTATTTTTATAATTAATATAATTAAAATTATTAAATTTTCTAGATATAAATTATTTTATTTGTAAAATATATATTTATTAAAATTAAAGCAAAATAAAAATATAAATATTAATCTCAAGTGATTTTATATTTATAATTTTTTACAGATAATTTTATATTATAAAATAATAAAATAAAATAAATTTCTTAGGAATTGCAAGAGTAGTGAGATAATAAATTAATCAATAATTAACATCATAAATAAATATACATAGATATGAAGAATTTATCTTTTACATTTTATATAATTTCTAATAAGAATATTTATACTTTTCAATAAAAATATATCAATTCTCTTCAAGAAAAATTATGAAGTTTTAATCGGATACGGAAAGTAAGAAATAATAATATTTTAAAATTAAAGTGAAATAAGTAAAAAAAAAAAAAGGGTAAAGTACCCTAAAAAAATTTCATTTAGGGGTTAATAAAAAGATTGTAGGATAAGTTGAAAAATAACGACAAATTAATTATTATTGGTTAAAATGGGATAATACAATTATAAATGACTGAAATTGTTTAATATAAATGAAATAAGCATAAATTTAGCTAAAAATTAAAAATAAATAATAACCTAATTTTAAGACACATGAAATACTATTTTTTTTTTTTCAAAAACTATCTTAAAAATAACAAAATATTTTAATTATATTTTAACAATTTTCAATAACTATTAATAATAAAAATCTTAAAACCCTAACACTAAATAAATCCAATTGTATTTTAAAATAAAATAATTAACTAATATCAAACAATTATCTCAGCGAACATTCTACATTAACAACTAATATATTATAAAACTGATAATAAATTTATATAGTCAAACTAACTAATTAAAAAAAAACATTTTAATATATTTATAGTAAAAGATAAACCAAATAATAAATTTATTTAGTCAAACCAATTAATATATTACAAAAAAAATAAATAAAAGTTTTAACATATTTATATTATTAATTTAAATTTTGACCACTTTTGGTATTTTTAGTTATTTTTGGTATTTTTGATATATTGATAATTTTGCAGTTTACTATTAATTTTGGTATATTAAATTTTAGTTTAGTATACCTATATTTGGTATATTGAAAAATCAATAGAATATAGTGAAAATATTGATGCGGTATTAATATGAAAATTCGTATAGTGTAAATTTTTATTAACCAAATAGTATAATAAGGTATTGGTATGATATTTTTTTTATACCAATACTTTCGATGCGAAGGACGTGAAATTTATGATTTATTATGTCGTCCGACTGAGATAGAAAAAAATAAATATTTGTTTTTTTTTGCTGAAATAAGCTATCATTTTGTATATGTCTGGTTTATGCTTAATTTATACTTAATCACTAAAATTATTGAGGTAAAATTATATTTTTTTGAATAATCAATAAAATTAATTAGGCAATTTTTAGTTCTAATTCATCATTAAAATAAATAGGAGAATTTTTTATTTTTATTTTTATTTTTATAATTAATTAGTGATGTTTTAATTATGGACCAAACTTGTTAAAGAGAGTAATGTTTAGTACTACATGATATTACAAAAAATAATGTTTTCTTCAATTTACAATTAAAAAAATATTTCTAAACATTTTAATATAGTAAGTTTAAATATAAAATAAATTTATTACTCGTTATAAAAATTAAGTAATATTTTTGAATTTCTAACAAACATAGATTTGTTTACTTTGTTCTTTTGATCGAATCAAAATCACGTTGATTTGACAAAATCAGTATATATTATACATGTAAAAGATTATATGGTACATATCGGACCATATTTATAATCCACTCATATAATAACACATCATATGATATTTTATAACCGTTGTACCATGTAAAACTCTACATTTTTTACATTTATATTGAATTGTTAGATTTTTGTGAATAAATAAAATATATTATATATATTATTTTAATATGTATATTATATTTTTTTATGTAATATTTATGAAAATTATATCATCCAAAAACACTATAAGTAATTAAACAAATTCATCTCCATAAAATATAAATAAAATAATACTATTATAATCCAATATTATTCAGTCATTAAACATACTGTATAAAATACCATAACTTCAACGCATCAATTATTTTATGACGAATGGAGTAAATTTAATACTATCTCCGTCCGGCTGTACATGTTTCATTTAATTTTTGCGTGTTGATCTTTCAATATTAATTATTATATTAAAACGTAGTAAAAATTAAGAAAAAAATAACAAAAATACTTCTATTAATATCTTATAATACTATTAGAATGACATTTATGCAAAAACATATACATATATAAAAATATTTTATATTAGATATAATGACGCAAAAAGTAAATGAGATTTTTAAAACCCGACGGAGAGAGTATTATGGACTCCCATTATTTTTATTTAAAATTCCAAAAATCCTTTAGATATATTTATATATAGACATAGATGTAGAGTATTATGCATTTTAAACAAGCTATGTATCTATTTATATCATACTAATTGAAATACATATCTATAGTTAGGATGCTAATAACTAGATATTACTCAATACTACCTATATGAAATATAGATGGCCAACTGCCTAAATTATTACTCCTTCCGTCCCATGTTGGATCTCTAGGTCACCATAGACACGAGAATTTAGTATAAGTATAATTAGTAGATAATTAAGAATATATTAGTGAAAATAATTATCCTATAATATAAATAATTATAAATTAAAGTTAAGATAAATTTAATTAAAATTAAAAAAATTAAATTAGAAAATTTAAAATGAAATTAAAATGTATAATTATTTTTCAAAAAAAAAAGTAACATGGAATGTAGGACGAACATAAACGACAATGTTGACATAGTAGGTGGGACGAAGGGAGTATTATTATTATTATTATTATTATTATTATTATTAGTTTATATTAATTTTAAATATATGTTATTTTAATATATTTTTTATGCAATTAGACTATTGTTATTTGTTTAAAAGTTATATTATGAGTTATTGGATATGGTATATTTAATGTATGGTCAGCACAGTGCTGATTAATTTCAATTAGTATATATATATATATATGACTTCAAAGTTTGTTTGATTTAATCGGTCTATATAATAAAAAAATAATATATTTATAAAATAAAATAATCAAGTTTATTATCATAGGTATCTTTCATGTAGAAAGATGAATAAGTCCACTCATTCTTAAAATCAGCTTTCTTAAGACCAAAGAGTTGGGCGGAAAGGGGGGAAGCCTTTTCTATTCTATTATTATTTTCTATTCTATGTGAGTCCGTCGTATAGAAAGCAACCTCTGGTATTTTTCAAAACTATTAATTGAATTTTCTATCAGGTTCTAGAAGATGCAGATGGTACAAAAATACTTTTTAAAGAGACTAATGTCGTAATCTTTTATTTTTTTGTTCCTCTTTTTTCAAGGTGTATACGTGAGACACAATACTACGTATTAATTTCGTTATTAATTTATTTGATTTAATTAGTCTATATAATAAAAAAAATATATAATATATTTATAGCAAATTGGTGATGCTCCAGAGTTGGGTCGTTGCTTGGTCAACTCTCGTGTGTGGATCAGCAGGTATTAAACCATCTGAAGTTGATTAGATGTTATATGGATTGAATAAACTATTCATATAAACAATATGTACATTTCTTTTCGGGAGCCCTACTGAAAAAACTTTAGAATTAAATGTGTTTGCCCTAGAGTAATTTGAGAATACGTGAGAATTCTCCCATAAGCGTCCTGGAAGGACTCATGTTGATCTGTAAGGTCAATCTACAATCCCGACACATCCAACTTTGCGTGACTTGCGGGCCGAGATGTCACAAAATCATATGTTTTGTTATAATATATCAATATATCATACATTTCATTATGTAAAAATATATAGTGAATGTTTTTATTATATATTAATTGGGTTAAATCATCATCATCGCTATATTAATATGATCCAATCAAATCCGCATCATATTGTATTGAGATTTATTAATCTATGAGTGATGCCGGCTACAGTCTAAACATAATTTGTCCCTAATGTATATTATCATGTTGGCTTCTTAATTGTGTGGTTAATTATCGGTTTGGCATGCCGTTGAGCCTATTTTATTTTTTAATGCTATATTAAATATAATATTATAAGTAAATAATATTTAAATATGAAAATTTAAGAGAAAAAAAAAATTCATTGTAAAAATTGTTATTCCGGTATATGTCGGTATCCGTATAGAAATAATTATATATTATATCCGCTAAATTTAAAAAAATATCTTTAAATTTTGCGGATGGAGAGAGTACAATTTATTTGGGTAAATTATATAACATCTTTTTGTAATTTTAGTAAAAAATGTACAAAATGTCTCGTATTTTATTTATTACGTGAAATCTTTTGTATTAAATTAAAACACGTGGATGTTACCATAATAATAATAATTGTATTATAATAATAATAATAGGGGTAAATTGATTTTTTCGTCCCATAACTAGACTCTTTTATCATTTTAATAGTAACCGGAGTCAGTCGCAAACTAGTCCCGTAAGTAGAACATTTTCGCACTTTTAGTCCTCCAATGTCGGGATGCCTACGTGGCATCCGCGTGGCTCTCTGGAGAACACATGTCCGCTAGGTCAACGGCACACGCCGAACACGTGGATTTTTTTTTTTCTTTTTTAAGTTTTAATTTAGTTATTTTGTCTTTTTTTGTAAAAACTAAAAAATTTCGAAAAAAGTTTTGAAAATTAAAAATTTCAAAAAAATAATATATATCCACGTGTCCGCCAGATGTTGCTAACCTGGTGAACACGTGTCCTCCGGCAAGCTACGCGAGTGCCACGTAAGTATCTCCAGCGCCGGATGACTAAAATTGCAAAATTTTTCTACTTACAGGATTAGTTTGCGACATACTCCCGTTACAAAACTAAAATGATAAAGGAGTTTATTTACGGGAGTAAAAAAATCAATTTACTCTAATAATAATTGTGTACGTGTAAGTTCAACATATTCATCAACCATCAAGCACAATTTATAGCAGTTTGATATGCCGAATCTCATCAAACTCTGAAGCTAAATGTTGTTTATATTATATATATTCTTAACAAAAAAAACTAATTTAAATTTAATCATTTTATGTTTTGTTTATTTGCCGTTTGAATACCAATTAATTGAATATAAAGTTTTGTAGAAAAAAATAATATATTATTTTCTAAAAATTATAATAATTCACCGTTAATAAAAAAAATAAAAATCGAACTCTAAAAATAATTAATTTTTATTTATCCCTGTGATAGACAACAAACATATTATTAGTCAATTCACCTCACGTATTACTAATCTCAACACAAAAGATCAGTGCAATATCCCCATAAAATATAAATTGTCATCACATATTGTTGTAATTAAAATCATATATTGTCTATCGACAATCTCTCTGCTATCAACACAATGTTAAATAAAATAATTCATCACTGTAACAGCCGCCAATAAAAAATATATATTTATACATATATACAGGTACGGAACTACACTAGGGCTTAAAAATATTAATTTTTTTTATGTATTTATATACAATTTGTCCCCCCAAAATTATCTAAATTCATATATAATTATGTTATTATTATTTATTTAAATTTATTAATTAAATATTAAATAAATTATAACATTTTGTCCCCCAGGATTTAGATGCTAGTTTCGTCACTGTATACATGTGTATATATATATATATATGCATACTTACTCACAACCTCAGATCAAAGCACCTGCTAAATATTATGGGAACTCAACCACGAGCCGACAACAACTTGGAGCCGCGGCTTGAGCCGAACAAAATCGTCATGGTGACCGGCGCATCATCGGGACTCGGTTGGGAGTTCTGTCTCGACTTAGCCAAAGCCGGATGTCGAATCATAGCTGCAGCACGGCGCATCGATCCCCTTCACTTACTATGCAATCAGATCAATGAAAAGTTTCCAATCACTTCCTCGGCTGGGCCGAGCCAAATTCAAGAAAGAGCCGTCGCGGTGGAGTTTGACATCGCTACAAACGAGCCAAATATCGAAGCTTCCGTAAACAAGGCTTGGGACTTGTTTGGAAGAATTGATGTTTTGATCAACAATGCCGGTGTAAGAGGTAAAATAGCCCGTACAGAAAAGTTGAAATTTAGTTGCAAAAAATTTTGTAACAAAAGATAATGAATTTGTAGTAAAAATATTTATGTGACACCTATGCCGCGTAGTAAAGGTCTTTGGCGACAAATATGACTTCCGTAACAAAAAATAAATTTTTTTGCATGAAAATTAAGTAAAGAGATATAGCTAGCAAATATGATTTCGCAGCTAAAGCTCTTCTGTTATAAAAATAAAATTTATAACAAAAGAATTTTAACAACAAAATATGTGTGATTTTCAAATGATTTTAGCAATAAAAAATAATTTTGTAGCTAAAACCCTAGCAAAAAAAATTTATCGAACGAAATTAATTTTGTAGTATATACTTTATTTTTAGCGATGAAATTTATGTTTGTTATTAAAAGACACATAACAACAAAAAAATTTCATAGTTAAAAATATTGTAGCTAATTAGATAAAGATTGTTTTTTCTCCTATTCGCGGATCACTTAATTTTCTTGGGTAGCTTCAATGATAATTTAAATGCCGAAAACATTGCATTTGTCATGTATTTCCTTTTTGGCAAGAAAGAACGCATACATGCGCCGTTAGATCTATCGCAAGAGGAATGGGACAAGATTATTCGAACTAACCAAACCGGGACGTGGTTAGTATCCAAGTATGTGTGTCGACATATGCGCGATGCTCATCGAGGAGGATGCATTATCAATATCATCTCCCTTGTCGGCCTCAATCGCGTGATATTTCCTGGTGGAGATGCCTACGCTGCTTCTAAGACCGCCATCAATGCAGTCACCAAGGTTAGTTTCGTCGATGTTGCTAGACAATATTATTTATGTCTTCCATGCTGAGATTTTTCATTACCCTATAAAAGTTATTTTGGTGCAGAAGACACGTTTTGTAAAGAATAAAATTTTAAAGAATATAAATAAATAAAAATATATTTATTTATTTATTTATAATTAAGATAAATTAATTTTACAAAAATATAAAAGAGTTTTAAATGTAAATAAAAATATTTATTTATTCAGAAAAATAAAAATAAAGAGATGTTCAGTGAAAACTATATTATGCATGATGTTATATATTATGAAGTTAATTATATTTATATTTGTTAAGTATATATTTCGACTTAGTAAATTTTACGAAAAATAAAAACGTATCAATTGAAATGGGAAAAACCAAAAAATAAATATGAGTCAATTGAAATGTGACGGAGGGAGTACTAATATTGTCAACAACTTAGTACAATACCTTCTCCACCAAAATAACTTTTATAGATTAGTTGGTTTACGAATATCGCCGTGGTTGGATTGTACAGATAATGGCAAGGGAGCTTGGACCGTACAACATTAGAGTAAATGCGATTGCTCCCGGATTGTTTGAATCGGAAATAACTGGTAAGCTGATGGAGAAACGGGGGCTTGCGACTGCATTGTCGAAAGTTCTCCCCTTGGGCTCTTTTGGGACAGTTAATTCAGCGTTGGGACCGCTTGTGAGATATTTAATTGGCGAGTCGTCTCAATATGTGACCGGAAATGTTTTCATTGTCGATGCCGGTCTCACTTTAACCGGTGTCCCTATTTTTTCATCTCTTTAAAGCCAATCCTTACTTAGAAAGGGATGTTTGAAAATAAAATGTTGTCTTAGTGTAGTCAAGATTGTATTTATAGGGTTGGTTTGAGATTTTTCCGAGTCTAGAGTTGTTATTTGAGTCGAGTTGAATCAACCGTTTCATTTTTTGACCTCAATTTGAACCTTCGTCGAGGTTAGTTCAAGTAATTGACTTCATTAATAAAATGAATTCGAGCTTGAGCTTGATTCGTTAGACTATAATTTTGATATAAACTCAAGACTTAGCTAATATGTATTAAAAGTAATAGAAAATATTTAAATTAATGATCGTATTGAATTTATTCAACTTGATAATTATTCAAGTATATATATATATATATTTTTCGACCTTCTCAATCATAATTAAGATCGTCATAGAATGACACACTTAGTAAATTTATAACTTTTTTTTTTAATAAAAATTAATTTGCTCCTACCAACAACATAAAGCACATTATTTTTCATCGTTATTTTTAGACGGAAAGAGTATTCGATACAAACTTTATCTTATTATAGGCATTACGGTATATACCAAAATACATAACATAATAAATTAACAACTTATATCTCAAAATAAAAAATATATATATAAATTATTATATTTATATTAAAATTTCTAATTATCATAAATTTCAATATTTATAATTGTTTTTATTTTCTAGCATAATACTCATGCTATGCATGAAAAAAATAAATTAAAAAATCATTTTAATATAATTTATATATTAAATTTTAATTTATTTAATATTGTTTTTTAATATGTAGATTTTTTATAAATAAAAAAATATTTAAAAATTAATTTAACTTAACAGTATAAAATATTAAACACACAACAAATAAGTTCTTCAGGTCTTGCCTGCTACAAGCTTCGACCCTCCATTCTTATCAAAATAATAAAATAACAATAAAATTTTCATATATTAAAAATATTTTACAATGTAACAATTAATATTTTTATAAAAATAATATGATTTTTTCTAATAAAATATTAAATTTAATTTATTCAAAATCAAAATAAAAAACCAAACACGTCAACAATCAAATGCAAATATAATTATTTAGAAAATTTAAAAAACTCATTGAGATCATCTATACATTTTAAATAGTTCTAAAATTTCTTGCTTATTGATCATAGCCATTCAATTTCCATGGTTCATAAAGAGGTTGGACGTATATAAATAGGTGTTGAATTGTTTTTCTATTAATTCATTCAAATAAAAAGATATTATATTTTATTTTGTAAAATATAAGATTTTTTTTTCTTTTTTTTTTTTCACTATTAAGTTTCAGAAATTGTATTTGAAGATGATAGTCTATTACAACAAAAATAATTGAATTGGATATATTTCCTTTGGCATACTATATTCACAAATAAATATATTTTTGACGTAAGTATATCTTTCGCGAAGTAAAAATCATACTCTAATTTTATTGCGGACAAAAAGTAGCTACAAATAGCTTCCGGTGCTGTCTCAAGGAATTCAAATGGAAAATATATATAACATAATAAAACATATTAAAAAAAGAAATCTACACGAACTGGATGAAAATACACCGTGTGATTTACTATTAAGAAATAGGTAAGTAATTTAAAACTAACATATTCTTTGCCATTTTCAAAGTCTAGGCGCATTTTTTACGTTTTGCATTATCTTCGTAATTGGTAATTGTGAGTTTCAATTTCGTTCGGAAGTCATTCACAATGGGAACAATGTTATGGATCACGTACGAATAAGTAGAAATTAATTGTTTTTTTTTTTTTCAAGATTATAGGGCAAGTATTCTTAAACTTTAAATATCTATTATCAGTGATATAACCAGCAATAAAAATTCGGGCGCAAAAAATTGATTTTTTTTTATCGATTCAATATTGTTGTTTTTTTTTTTATTCATAGTACACCTCGATAAAAAATTAAAAAAATTAAATGTTTTAGAAAAATATCAATAAAATTACATAAAATTTAATATTTTTTTACTATAAAAAATAAAATTTAAAGACTAAAAGTATAAATCAACAAACGGATAAAATTTTTATGATTTTTTACATTAAAAAATAAAAAATTAAGAGGGATAAATTACTATAAAATATATAATTTTATTAACTTTTATATAAAAAACATATATATTTTAAGAACTGGGTTCAGTTGACCCTCCTAGCCCCCCGCATAATTCCGCCACTGTCTATTATTATAAAATTCCGACAAAAATAATCCGTTTCTATTTGCATTTTTTCGCTTAGCAAATCACCATCTTAATCATCCCAAATAATACATAAAAGTCATAGAGAAAAAAATATCAGTTAACTTAATCAAATAAAAATATATTTTTATACAATATAAGATTTTTCAATACAGTTGTTCGGCTTGAACTCTGAATTAAATTATATTACAATATATGTTATCATGTTTCAAAAATTATAACTAAAATGTGTTTGTTTAGTATTTTAATATTAAAAAATAAATTGGATAAATAAATATTTAAAAAGAAAACATAAGTAATTAATAAATCTAGCAAATTCAAACAAAATAATAAATAATATATATGATAAATAATTATACCTCAATTGTTTTGCACAACGTTTTTATTTTTTATTATATTTAAAAATAATATATAGGGAGAAATAAAAAATTATATCCTTATTTTAATCCACTAGCTTATTCATACATTCTATATGGATATACGAAATTTAATTTTATTTATTTATTTATTATTAAAAAAAAATTAAAAATCTTTTAAAGCAAATATCATTTTCTATTAATTTCAAATTTCCGTATCAACACAATATATCACTTTCAAACTTTTCTACTTTTTGTTTATCCTGTAAACCAGGCCTGACCGGAAAGTTACACTAGGTAAACCATCTGTGGCAAGTGACCTGAAGCGTCGGAGGTTTGAACCCATGACCTCACGGTCACAAGTCCAACCCCTAGTGATTTTAGTAACTATTGATTTTACTTTTTTCTATAAATATTTCTACTTTTACTATCATATCATTACTGTTACACTAAAAAACAAAAACACAATTACTTTTCCACTATTTTTAAAGTTTTGCACAAAAATGAAATATATACTTTGTAGCTGAACAGAAAAGTATACTCTCCATTACGGCTATATATATATATATATTATACTACCTCCGTTCGGTTGTAAGAGTCTCATTTACTTTTTGGGTATTGATATTTGAATATTAATTATTATATCAAAAAGTAATATAAATTAAGAAAAAATTGCAAAAAAAATCCATTAATATCTTATAATACTAATAGAATGATATTTGTATAAACAATTATAAAAATATAAGAATATTTAATGTTAAATATATTTAACGCAAAAGTAAATATAAGAATATTTGAGGCGGACGGAGAAAGTATTATATTAAAAAATTAATTTGAATTTTACTGAGTATCTTTTTTAATTGTTTATTAATTATCTATAATAATATATTGAATTATTTATTTTATAATATTTGCACAGTGAATAATTCCATATTCAATATTTATTATTATTATTATTATTATTATTATTATTATTATCATATCCGGAAGACTCACTCAATCACCTCCGCTATTAACGGGGTCTCGGTTGATTTCCCTTCCTTTAGCTACTCAGATGTTTCAGTTATTATTATGTGTATGAAATCTTTATATCAAAATTTATTGATTATTTACTTTTTACAAGAAAATATATTGTTGAATAAATCAAATTCAATAAAAATTTCATTTTTTTTAAAAAAAATAACACTTTTCATCATTTATTTATTATTCTCTCTGTCCCATGTAATATAGGTGTATTACTGTAGACACGAGAACTTAGGTAAAGTATAATTAGTAAGTAATTAAGAAGTGTATTAGTAAAAATAATTATTATTTAGTAAAAATAATTATAGATTAAGATTAAGATAACTAAATAATTTAATTAAAATTAAGAAAATTATAAAATTTAAAATGAGATTAAAGTGCATAATTATATTTTCAAAAATAGAAAGGACAAGTTATGTGGGACCGACGAAAATAGAAAATAGGGACAAATTACGTGGGACGGAGGGAGTATTATAATTAAATTTTAATCCTATTCTAGATGGGCCACCCTATTTTATCAATCTTTGCCAAGTAAAATGAGGCCTAAATACTCAGGCCCAGGCATAGCCCACTTTCAAATTGTGCTGGGCCGCGCGAGCCAGTCTTATTTTATTTTATTTTATGCTGTAGAGATATTTTGCATAATTTCTTTTTTATCAATAAATAAATTATGTTAATCTAAATAAATACAATTATATGATAAAAATAATATTTATATTGATAATAAAAAAACTTAAAAATTAAATTTATAATTAAATGTTATCATTTATTCATAATATATATTTAAATTATATACGACACGTCATAAATTATATATGATATAATTTATAATTATATTTAATTGAAGATTGTAAATATTAAATTATTAAGAATAATACTCCACTTCAAAGTATTTTTTCAGAGTTGTGTAGCAGATTAAAAATAATAATATTTTATTAATAAATAAATATTTAAATAAATTTTAATATTTTTATTCTTTGACTATATATACACAAATTATATATTTGTAATTTTGGTAAAAATCAAAAGATATTTTGATATTTATGTATTGTTATTTTTATTAAAATAACAAAAATATACTTTTGAATAAGACAAATAAAAATAGTTAAAGAATATTTTTAATTGAGACAGATAAAATATATTGGATATTCACATATCCAACGATCCATTTATAAAGCCTTAATCGGACTATTCGCAATTTGATGTGGCTTAGATTGGACCAAGATAATTTTTGGCCAACAAATTTATGGTAAAGAGTATTGAACACAAAATTTTACTATTTATTATTTTTCCCAAAAAAAACTATTAAATTAAATATTTATTTTTTATTTTTTATATTATATTAAAAATTAATTTTACACTAAAAAAAATCAAATCAACATCTATTTATATCACATCATATAATTATTCTAATACAATCGTGAGTATATAAAAGCAAAAAATTATATATATACTATTTTTCTATATAAAATATCATATCTAGTCAGAGCTTTTAAAAGAACCGAGTCGTTCGTGAACTCGGCTGTTCGATTCGGCTCAGTCAAAGCTTGTTCGCGAATGTTAACGAACCGAGCCGAACAATATAAACAGGCTCGTTTGATTAACGAACGAGTCCGAGCTTTGTTCGCGAACGTTTGTTTAAATGATATATTTATTATAAATATTATATATACATATAAAATTATAATTTATAAATATATAAATATTAATTTAAAATATATAAATAAAATAATTTTAATTTTTTTTTATAGTTTATATAAAAATTTTAAAAAATAAGACAAACGAGCTCGAACGAGCTTAATCGAGCCTAAATGAGTCGAACACAAGCTCAAACAACAAAAATTCTTAACGAGCCGAGCTCGAATACTACGAACGAGCTCGAAAACTTAACAAACGAACACGAGCCTTGTTCGCGAACATTAACAAACACTTAAAATTTAGCTCGACTCGGATCGTTAACAGCTCTATATCCAGTAAATATTTTGAATTAAAATACAAAACAATAATAATAAGAATTCCCATTTCCCTCGTGAAGGCTTGCCTTTAAAGGGATGAAAAAATGGGAACACCGGCTAAACTGAGACCGGCATCGATGATGAAAACATTACCGGTCACATATTGAGACGACTCGCCAATTAAATATCTCACAAGCGGTCCCAACGCTGAATTAACCGTCCCAAAAGAGCCCAACGGGAGAACTTTCGACAGTGCAGTCACAAGCTCCCGTTTCTCCATCAGCTTACCAGTTATCTCTGATTTAAACAATCCGGGAGCAATCGCATTTACCCTAATGTTGTACGGTCCGAGCTCCTTGGCCATTATCTGCACACCCCGACAACAACGGCGTTATTCATGAATCGAGCAAATCTTAACATGAAACAATTATAATATCGCGTGTAGCCATATATAGTTGGACCCTTTTCGATAAATATTTGTTGCAACAATGAAACTAACCTTAGTGATTGTGTTCACGCCGGTCTTAGAAGCGGCGTAGGCATCTCCGCCGGGAAATATTACGCGATTTAGCCCACCAAGGGTCGCGATATTGATAACGCACCCTCCTTGGCGAGCTTCGCGCATATGTTGACACACGTAATTTGATACTAACCACGTCCCGGTTAGGTTAGTTCGAATAATCTTGTCCCATTCGTCTTGTGATAGATCTAACGGCTTGTGCAAGCGCTCTTCCTCGTCAAAAAAGAAAATGTATATATAAAATAAAAAATAACGTATTCACTTAGGGTTTGTTAGGTTGTGGTTTGAATTAATTTGAAATGAAGAATTAATTTGAGTTTTTATTTAAATAATATTTTGATGTGATGTTTAATTTATAAAAAAATAAACAAATTATGTATTTTTATTTGAAACTGTACAGAATAAAATACCGGTGATTTCAGTTTGAAATCACACAAGAACAAACTCTTAATGTTATATTGCTCCACTACTTCTTAACAATATTACCCGAAAAATATAATGTATAATATACAATATATATACACATAACAATAAAAGTCGATAAAAAGGTATAAAATATCATTTTCTATATTACTTTCATATATAATTCTCTATGCATTATAATAAAAATACTTAAAACTATAAATACTAAATGAACACGAGAAAATTGCAAAATATATCTCACACGTATATCCCATTATCATTTTTTGTCATGTATTTATCTCGTTGACAAAATATATCCTATATGTTTACAAAATTGTTATTTCTTTCCTTTTGTTGAGCGTGACTTTCACACGGGTCAAATGATAGAAATAACAACTTTTGCAAATATGTAAGATATATTTTACCAGCGAGATAAATATAGGACAAAAGTGATAATGGAGTATACTTGTGGAATATTTTTTGCAATTTTTCCAAACAAACACGCCGAAAGTTTTCAGGATTCAAATTATATTACCTCTTGCGCCGGCATTGTTGATCAAAACATCGATTCTTCCAAACAAGTCCCAAGCCTTGTTTATACAAGATTCGATATTTTTCTCCGTCGTAGCTATGTCAAACTCCATCGCCATGGCTCTATGTTGAATCTGGCTCGGCTCGGTCGGGGAAGTGACTGGAAACTTTTCATTTATTCGATTGCAAAGTAAGTGAAGGCGGTCGATGCGCCGGGCTGCAGCTATGATTCGACAACCTGCTTCGGCTAAGTCGAGACAGAACTCCCAACCGAGCCCCGACGACGCGCCGGTCACCATGACAATCTTGTTCGGCTCAAGCCATGGCTCCAATATGTTGTCGGCTCGGCTTTGAGTTGCCATAACCTCAGCCTGTACTTTCATCTAAGTTTTTGGAGTAAAGAAGACTTACTTAAATATGCATCCAAATTTCCAAAATATACATTGCAAAAAAATAAATAAATAAATAAATAAAATGAGAAAGACCTTTAACACGTTGAACACGATGCCAAATTGTCAATGATCATATCAAAGATAAATATTTTCTTGAAATAGTTAATTAATTAGTTTATTTAATGATGATAAAATAAATAAGTTTGAAAATAAATTGCCGAATATGTCATACACAATAATTATAATATGAATCTGAGTTTTGTGTATTCGACATATAATTAATATAATTGCTATTTTATGTGTAATTATTTGCTATACAAAATTAAGTTATCGATATCAAAATAAAATGCAACAAATAAATCCCAAATGTTCTTAGCATGCCTAAGTTAAATCACACACTTTTTACAATTTTTTTTTTAAAAAAAATTTTCTACGGTTTTATTCTCTAAATTCTTCAATAATAAATAAATAAATACAAACAATAATAAATATATACAAACCAAACACATAAAGGACTCTATTTTTATTGATCTCAATTTTTGGCTATCTATACTATTTATTCTAATACAATATCACTTAAAAATACTGTTACTTAAAAAAAAAAAAAAAAACCAAAAAAAAAAAAATCCACATAAAATATTGGTTTGTTGTAGGTTTAAAGATTCCAACAATCCAAATTGAATAAGAATATATTAGTAATTATATGGTTTTCTTATTTTTTGAACTTTCGATAAAATATGTATTGTGTATTATATTTACAACTGACATATATTAAACTGTAATATTTAACCAAAAGGTAAATGATATATCTGTTTGTTTGGGGTTCGGATTTTTTTATTTAATTTTTTTACATTTGAATTGTAAAAATTTTGAATTTAAATAAATTTATAGTGTGATATTTTGAATATAAAATAAATTTTTAGTATAATGTAAAAAATAAAAAATAAATATTTGATTTAATGTATTTTAAAAGAAAAATTTTGATAAATGGTAAAAATATGAAAAATTAAAAAAAATGATAAAAAGACACTCTCGAACCTCAAGTCATTTGGATAATTGTTATTTATTTAAAGATTATAAAAATTCGTATTGAATTATAATACGAGTTAAATGATGCAAAAATGCATGCTCCTGCAAGCTAATGTCAATCTTCCATCATGTAAAATTGTAAAAATTAATCTGGCTTGCAGAGTATTAGGTTCAACTGGGGATTTATCCGGTGCGCACTTTCGAATAGCGATTTCGGATTCCCACGTCATAAAAAAAAATTGTGAAAATCAAGATAAAAGAAAAAACCATAATTTGGTAATTCGGTTCGTTCATATTGATCTACGTTTGAGTAGTCAAACCAAGTATTTTCATTATTTTTTTTTGTATTGATTTGCGAGAGAATACATCTGAGTATTTATAGATAAAATGTGTTATGTGATGTAATTGATTGTCTCATTTAAAAGTTCAACCTTCTAAAAATATACTACCTCCATTCGGCTCTAAGGGTTTCATTTATTTTTTGCGTTTTAATCTTTGAATATTAATTATTATATGAAAACGTGGTACAAATCAAAAAAAATGGCAAAAATTATTCTATTAGTGTCTTATACTACTATTATATTGACATTTATGCAAAACATTATACAAATATAATGATATTTTTAATATTAAATATAATGATGTAAAAGATAAATGAGACATTTAGAATCAGATGAAGAAAATACATCATTTCTTTATATATATTTTACGGGAATATATATTTTACGGGAATCAACCAACCTAGCTAGCTATTGTTTTCCTTCTAACAAGTTGAACATAAAAGAAAATATCTTAATTGCCAGTTATATAATCTGAAATAATTCATTATCTAGTTGGCATAATGATTAAGAAATGCTTTATTTAAACATAATGATTGAATTAATTGTTTTGTGAATTAATTTGAAATTGAAATTTTAGTGGTACAAGAAAACTTTTTAAAGCTATTTATTTATAAGTTTTTGTTCAGGGTTTGACTATTTATAGAAGAAAGAAATTTCTAAAAATATGAAATAAAATATCTATTTTTTATACTCTCTCCGTCACACAAATGTGTGATCATTCGATCGAACATGAATTTTAATAAAAGTGATTAATAATTGTTAATTTTTTCTTTTATAGTAAAAAATAATACAAAAGTAAAATGATTTTGTACTTAAAAAAAATAAGAATATTTTTTATGACAATCAAAAATGAAAATGAATATAAATTTGAATAACGGACAAAATATTACATTAAAAAAAATTCTATTAATAATTCTTGAAATTTAAAATTTTACTATTTAAATTCAACTTTAAAATTCAAACAAGACAGACAATCGGAGCCTAAGGATCCGTTTGGTTATTAAGTTGGCCTTTGACACTATAGTACTTTTAAAAATTTGAGTCGTTTTCCAAAAATTTCAAGATAAAACTATTTATAATCTATCATTTCTATTTCTTTACTAAATAAATAAATATATGTATATATTTATTTAAAACTCAATATTTTTTATAAAATATATATATTTATGTATTTGTATTATATAAAATTTTATTTTTTATAAAAATAACATTCATGTCGAATATATATATTTTTAAATAATTCAAAAGATATTGAATTTATTTCTAATAAAATATACTCCCTTCGTACGACTATAAGGGTCTCATTTACATTTTGCGTTATTGTACTTAACATTAAAAATATTCTTACATTTGTATAATTTTTTGCATATATGTCATTATAATAGTATTATAAGACACTAATATGAGTATTTTTGTCATTTTGTCTTAATTTATACTACATTTTTATATAATAATTAATATTCAAATAGCAATACGCAAAAATTAAATCAGACTCTTAGAGCCGGACGGAGGTAGTATGTTATATCATAATCCAATTATTAATCAAACATCATCTTATTTCAAACTAATAAAATCAAACTCCAACTAATATCTCCAACGGACCACCAGACAATCATCTAAGAAAATTATTAATCCCGACGCTTCCAAGTCTTGTCTAGTGTGACTTATTTTGCCGGTCTAATTTGCAGACTATTAAATTGGACTGAAGATTTAGCTGGAGTGCTTCCAATAGAGCGGCGGGTTCTTACTCATAAAAACATATATATATAATCCACTTATAAAACATATCAACTATCTAAATAATCAACTATCTAGTGTGACTTTCCCGTCGAGCCTGGTTTGCAGGGTATTAGGTTCGGCCGGAGGTTTACCCAGTGCGCACTTTCAGGTAGCGGCTGCGGATTCCCACGTCATCAATATATATATACTGTTGAACTACTAAATTATACTCTATCTGTCCCACATACCATGTCCACGTTGCCGTTTATATCCGTCCCACATTCCATCTCATTTTAAACTTTTTAATTTATTTTTTTAATGTTAATTAAACTAATTAGTTATATTAATCTTAATTTATAATTATTTATATTATAAGATAATTATTTTTATTAATACATTTTTAATTATCTACTAATTATACCCCTTTTAAAATACCGTGTTTACAGTGTAGCGGACACGGTATATAGGATGGAGCGAGTAATATAAATTTATCTAAGTATTGAATTGAATGACTGAAAATTATGCACAAAATATGTTAAACCTTACCTAATCCCAATACTGCAAATCCACTAAATCAAAGATTGAGATTTGGAATCAATCGATTCAGATGCGTTGCACGAAATCACAACAGGTATATATACCTAATTTTAAATAATGTAATAAAATTAAAGGGAATATGTGTTCCTAAGAATATATTAGAAAATTACAAAAATAATATCGTTCACTTATACTCAATTATTACTTTTATCATTTATTATGTCATTTCTGTTATTTCACGTGCGCCCACGCATGCATGGCCCCTACTCAACGAGTGATCAATAAGCCGTCGGAAAAGAGTTCAAGCGACAATAATGCTAGTAAAGAACATCAATAATTATTTTGTTCGACAATATTTTTTTGTTTGTACTTTTTTATTTTTGTTTTTTTTTTAAGAAAAAAAAATAGTAGTATTACTTTCTTGTTACTTGTTAGCACATGGTTACGACAATTGAATTCTCACCAAATCCAAATCATGTTTTGGAAGTTGTATTCTTTTAGTATTTAGAAATTTTAGAAGTTTATGTTGTTAATTATGGAGAATTGTGAAAATGTTATAAAATTATTTATTATTTATTATTATTCAAATACTACGTGAAAATATATATATATATATATATGTATATATATTTATATTAACAAATATCCCTATAGGGAATGGTAAGAATTGAAAGTGAACAAACTAAAGTAAAATCATATCTCTTCAACTTAAAAAAAGAACAAGATTGAGACAATCTATCAAGAAAAACATCTTATTGATATATCTTAATGTGAAAGCGATAAATGCGAATTCATTCGACATCATTTTTTCAGAGTGAAGAAAAAATCGGAAGTCCGGGTAGGCTTATACCCCCATCCACGATGAATATATTTCCCGTAACATAATTGGAGGATTCGTGAATTAAGTAGCGCACGAGTGATGTCAATGCTGGATTTGTTGAACAAGTGAAACCCATCGGGATACCTTTCTTTATTACATCCAACGCATCTTGTTTGAAAAGAGCTTCGGTGATCTCGGACAGGAACAATCCGGGAGCTATTCCATTCACTCGGATGTTGTATTGTCCCAATTCTAGCGCCATAGCCTGTTAACATTTCGCGTAATAATTGAGATATATTTAAAAGTGATTCATCCTTAAATTCGAAGTAATTGAGATATATATCATTGTGAATTTAAAAAGATAATAAGAAATAAACGAAAAGAGAAAATTAAAATTAGTCCAATTACATAAACTAGAATAAAAGCCGAAAGAATCGAAGAAAAATATATTTGAATTAAATTTCCCTTTTCCTTTAGACGATTACGTAGATAATTTTAATTTTCCAGTGAGATTAACACCACAAATTTATTGTGTTTTGTTTTAAAAGAATATTTTTATGTAAGATATAAGAAATTAAGTAAGTAATATAAAAATAATAAATGTGTGTAGTATATTCATTTTTTTGAAAATATGTTAAAAAGTTTAGGTAAAAGAATAAAGCCTTAATGCACAAACCTAAAGGAAAGAAGAGAAGAAAATCAAGAAGATTTTTTATAGCTAGAAATCGCATGCGTTAAATGTTCATATTATATGCGATATTTGATTGAATTTTACCTAATTTATATGCGTATTGTTTATTTGCTGTATGCATAGGGCAAATATCAAATTTGGTGTAATTGGTAGAAAAAGTAAAGAAATTTTCAGATTTGCACCACCTAGCTCATGACATAAAAATTTAATTAAAGGCTCAAAAGCTCAACTACAAAATAATTAGGGCAAAAAAAATAAATAAAAGGAGAGGATCACATGCAGAAAAAAGAGGGGGAGAACAGCCAGAGCATATACGCACAAGAGCAGGAGACGAGACTGATATAATCATAGATTGCGCAGGAGCAAATCGACAGAAAAGATTTTCCCTCCCACTATGATTTTATCTTTCTTGATTGTTCTTTGTTATTTGATTATGGAGCGATACTTTTCTGTTTGAGAGGGGATAATGTTTTGGTTCTTGTGTTTTGGAGATTTTTACTTTTCTTTATAAAAGTTCTCTTTTATTATCAATAATTGTGTACGTTTGTGATTGTTGGATTGATTGAATATTTTGGTACCGATGTTTGAATTAGTCTGATAATCTAAAGTCAATTTAGGTAGGATATCCGTAATTGTATTCGCACTTGAATAGGCGACAAATGAGTTGAATAGTTCGTTCCCGGGGTTAGACAATCAAATCTAATTGCTCCTCTTAGATAATAATTGTTTTGAATTGGGTCTTTCTAGATTAGAATGTGATTAGACAATAATTCCTATGGGTGTACCTAGGTCTTTTTTAGCTTAATTAGGGGTAGTTAACGGTCGTACCTTAATTACCTACATTGTAAAGAAAAATTGGTTGTCAGAGCTTGTTGATAACTATAACCAATTTATTGATACTTTAATAAGAACTAACTTTATTGAATAATGATAAAACACAAGCGTCATAACTGCATCATCCCTTGAGCCAAACATGTCCGTAATAGCTAGTTTTTCCTTAATTTAATTGCTTTCTTATTTTATTTTCATTAGATAATAAAAGAAAATTCCCCCTAATTATTTAGGGCATTAGAACACGAAAGAGAGTGAATCACACAATCCATGTAGAAATGATTCATTCACCTGTATTACATCAAATTGTGATCATGAAATAGATGAAATATTATATTGACCGCGCGACAGGACAATTTTCTTTCTTTCTTTTTTCTAACGTCAATTCAAATTGATTATTTATTGAGTTATTTTGATTTAATGAACTGAAAATTGTTAAAGATAATTCTTGCTAGGCCAAAAAGACATCGAACACAATAGCAAACATATTTAATCACTCCATACTTAGTCAAGATAAAATTATACATTTTGTCACATATATGTCTAATTATTAGTTTTGTTGTATAGTTTTTTCACGTCCATATTTTGATAATGCAAATTAGAGTAGTTCACAATTTTGGCTCTGTTTATATACAATGATAAAAAATTGTTATATATATATATAAATAAATAAATAAATAAATTTTTTCTACCATTTTAAAAACATCACATCTAATATATATTTTTCATAAAATATAATTATATAAAATACTCAACTTTAATTTTTATTATTCAGAAAAATATTCAAAAATCATAGATAAACAAAGCGTCGGTTTTGCAAGTTGTATAGCATCTAGATGATAAAACTAAAATTGCAAACTATTGCAATCTACAAATTAACATGGACACAAAATCATTTAATAAATATGATACTTTTACGAACGAAATAACAATCACTACAAGAAAAAATCATTTTTGTAACAAAACTTTTTTGTCTCTAAATTTACTTTTTCCGTTACTAATGACATTAGAGACGGAATTAGAAATTGAATTACGTTAGCTACGTGAACATTATGGACGGAATTCCGTTACAAATATATTATTTTTTTTGTAGTGAATAAACCTCTCTATCAGGGTCGGTCCTGGACACGGGCTACACTCAAACTCTAAATTTTTTAGCCCTTTTAGGAATTATTTTACAAAAAAAAGTGTATTTGTATATATAAAAGAAAATTTATTAATATGCGTATAATATTAAAAATATATATATTGTAGTTCATTTAATTATATTAAAAAAGAGTTTTTTTTTTTCATTTTTTGCCCTAGACTCGTCAAAATTCAGAAACGATCTTGCTTCCTATGATCGAGTTATCTTAAGAATTCTACATGGTATTGATAGACAATTATAAGAAAAACTAAAATAAAAGGAACATATATATATTCGAAGAAAGAGGCAACAAACCCTAGTCATGGAGTCAATTCCCGACTTAGAAGAGTTATAGGGCACGCCGCCGTGAAATTGCACACGATTGAGACCGGTGATCGACGATATGTTGATTATCAAGCCTCCCCGGCCCGTGGAATGCATTCGGGATGCTATGCATTTCGATAGTTTCCATGTACCCATCAAGTTGGTGTCGAGAATTTGCTTCCATTCTTTGTCGGATATCTCGAGTGATGATCTCAATTTCCCTAATTATGTTACAAAATTTGTTCACATATTATGAAATTTTCACATTAGCACATAATATATTATTGATTCAACATTGAATGATTGAAACAAATTAAAACAAGCGTTTTCTAATAAACATGGCCTATAATTTCACTAAATAAGATTTTAAATTAAGTTAGTATTAAAGAACTAATTCATGGTTTGTTTGATAATATGGTTTTTTATTCTAGTCCATTAAAGTAGATATCATGATCTAACTTTTTGAGAAAATTTAAAACAAAATGAAATTTTATTTTTTGATGAGATGAAAACTTATAGTCGCCATTTTTTAGTGTTCGTGTTGGGTAAAAAATCATATTTTGGTCAAAAATAATTAATTTTTACCATATAATTTTAAAATTGTAGTCATACTCCCTCCGTCCCACGTACCATATTCATGTTGCCGTTTTTATCCGTCCCACATACTATGTCACTTTCCTTTTTTGAAAAATGATTACACACTTTAATCTCATTTTAAATTTTTTAATTTTATTTTTTTAAAATTTTAATTAAACTAATTAGTTATCTTAATCTTAATTTATAATTATTTATATTATTGGATAATTATTTTCACTAATACATTCTTAATTATCTACTAATTACATCCCTCCTATAAATACCGTGTCTACAGTGTAGCAGACACGGTATATGGGACGGAGGGAGTATATGGTTAAAAATAATTAAAATTTATTAAAACTTTGGTAAATCAAATATTTTGGTATTTTAAAATTTTTATTTATTTTTTATTACCGAAAATATCAAAAATTTTGTACGATATCATATCATATATACCGATCTTTTTCGATACGGCAATGGTATATAATTTGATATTTTGGCATTCGATTTATACCAATATATAATTCAGTATAGTAATACCAAAATTATTATTTTAATTTTTAGTAATTCAACATGAAATGGTATAATACCAATATCATACCAAAAATTTGGTATATCAAAATTTTGGTACTATATTACTCCCTTTGTCCCATGTAATAGGTGTATTACTGTAGACACGGGAATTTAGGTAAAGTATAATTAGTAAGTAGTTAAGAAGTGTATTAGTAAAAATAATTATTATTTAGTAAAAATAATTATAGATTAAGATAAGTAAATAGTTTAATTAAAATTAAGAAAATTATAAAATTTAAAATTTAAAATGCCATTAAAGTACATAATTATATTTTCAAAAATAGAAAGGACAAGTTATGTAGGACGGACGAAAATAGAAAATAGAAACAAATTATGTGGAATGAAGGGAGTAGTATATACATTTGTCATGCCTATTTTTTTATATATTGAATTTTTGGTATGATATTCGGTATGATTTGATATTTTTTATATACCCTACCGAACCATCGGTATACATAAAGTTAAAAAAAATTAGACCCCATTGAACAGCCCCAAGTTTGGAGGCTAATTCCGCCACTTTGGGTAATCTAAGTTTTTATTTTTTGTTTTTTCCTAGCTTGGTCAATAAATGCATTAATTTTATTTTTAATCTTTTAATTAATTTAAATATGGTTAAGAAACACTAAAACTTAAAATAAAAAAATAAATAATAATAATAATAATCGGTACCTCTTACTCCGGCATTGTTTATCAAAACATCGACGCGACCAAATACCTTCCAAATTTTTGCTACACAATCGTCAATGACTTGGCCCGGTGATGTGATATCGAGCTCTATTGCCACAGCTCGGCAAATCGGGTCACAATTTTCATCAACCGGCCTTAATTGATTGATTTCGTTACAAAGAGAATTGAGCAAGTGCACTCTACGAGCAGCTGCGATAATTTTGCATCCGGCCTGGGCCAAGTCACGGCAAAAATCACGACCAAGCCCCGAGGAAGCCCCCGTCACCAAGACTACTTTGTTATTCAAACATGACCATGGCTCTAAACAACGCAAACTTCGAGCTTCCATGTACAAAAGTCGCCGTAGTTTTAACTATTACACAAATTTAAAAAAGAAAGTAATTGCGAAATTTAATTGTTATTTATTTTTTTGTACATATTGAGAGGATTTATAGATGCACAGTTCAAATATGAACACATTAATGAATGTAGTGAGGTTAGGCAGAGCTTATTAGATTTAAAAGGTTGTTTGAGAAACGGCATTTTTGAGAGCCTTTAGTTGTTGGTCGATCCAAAAGTTAGTTTAAGTATTTAGAAATTAGTTTTTTAAAATAACTTACTGATCCCAAAAGGCTAATGTTTGTAACGCCGAAGTGTTCCAAAATAATTGTTTTGTTTTATTTTATTTTATTTTTTATTTGTCCTTGAAATAATTCATTTTTTTTTACATATATTGATATATTTTTCATTGTTTTATTTATTTATTATTTTAATATTTTTTCTTTTAATGATTTATAAATTTACTTTTATAAATTTAAATTGATTAAATTATTAGTTTTTATATATAAATTATTTTATTTGTAAAATTTTTTAATTTGTTCTAAATAAAGACAATATAAAATATTAATATTACTAATTTATTTATATATACTATTAGTTTGTTTCTTTTGCTTCTGAATCTCACGTTTCTACCCTTTGGTCTTTATGTTTTTCGAATAGAGGAAAAAATATATAATATCATGTATTTTTTTAATACTAAACTTAAATAAAATTTTTTCAAACTCATCAATTATTTTTTTCATATTATTTTTTTATTATTGATGAATATATAGAATAAATTTATTTAAAATTATAAATCTAATGAAAAATAAATTATTTAGACATTAAATTAATATAAATACATATACAAATTATTTATCTTTTAAAATTTATACTATTTCTAATGAAAATATATATTTATATTTTTCAATAAAAATACATTAATTCTTCCAAAATATTTTTAAAATAACAAAAACAAATATTTTACTCCCTCCGTCCACAAACTAATGTTCTACTTTCCTATTTGGGACGTCCAACAATTATTGTCCTATTTCCTTTTTTAAACAAAAATTTTACATTTTTACCCTTCATTCATTTATTACTTTTAATCTCTACCATACACTTAAGGGCAAATTTGTCCATATATAACAAAAAGACAGACACCTAAAAAATCGTGTAAATATACTTTAGGATAATAGAAAATGGACGGAGGAAGTAATAAAAACTTTCATAATTTCCAATAAAAAATAATAAAAACTACAAAATATCCTACACACCATAAGAACACAACTAATTTTTCAAAAATAAAATACAAAGTTCTTTTACCTTTCATTTTACATATAACAACAAATATAAAACAATTATTTTACCAAACACTTTAACACAAATGGCTAATATAATCAATTAGTCAAATCACCTAATCTAATCAACTAACAACTAATTGTCAAAACGCTCTTTTTATTAGGATAATTAATTTTAGAGTAAATTGTTTTTTTAGTCTCGTATCTGACCCACTTTATCATTTTAGGACTTTAAGTGGACCCTGTCTGAAAATAATTTCGTAAGTAAAATTTTTTCGCTAAAATGGTCCTCCGGTGCCGGACTCGCTATGCTGGCAGCCGTTGCTGACGTGGCGCTGACGTGGTTGACATGTCATCGCCACGTAGATGCCACGTCGAAGGACTATTTTAGCGAAAAAATTTTACTTACAGGACTATTTTGAAACATAGTCCACTTAAATGTCCTAAAAATGATAAAGAAAATCATTTACAGGACTAAAATATATTGCACGTGCGCTGATGTGATATCTACATGGTGAAATAAAGTTCTAAAATGATAAAATGGTCAGATACGGAACTAAAAAACAATTTACCTTTAATTTTATTTTGAATAAAACTTAATATATATTCTCAATATTTTAAATAATAATCTAAAATATTATTTCTATAATGTTGGTATGTTATCTTTTATAACAAATTCATTCCTAAAGATTATATGCGGCTTCAGGCTTTGTTTGCCTCAAATGTTTCGCATAGGTGTAATTCTTGTCGGACCTAGTTTGTATGCTATTAGATTCAATCGAAAATTTATCCAGAATGTGCTCGAAGAAATAGCGATCGAAAGTTTTTGCGTCACTAAAACAAAAAAAAAAAAAAAAAAAAAAAAAAAGAAGTCTCTTTTGTGGTTAAAACGGTTGGGCGATTTGGTTTGTTTGTGGATTTTAGGTTTAGATTTAATTGTTCTATGGGTTTTGATTGCACAGAAAATTATACTTCTTCCGTCCTACTTAATTTGTTTACTATCTTCAAATCGGTCCGTCCCACGTAAATTGTCTTTTTTCTTTTTTTGAAAATATAATTATACACTTTAATCATATTTTAAAATTTATAATTTTTTATTTTTTATTTTAATTAAACTATTTAATCATCTTAATTTTAATCTATAATTATTTTTATTATATCGTAATTATTTTTACTAATACACTTCTTAATTACTTACTAATCACATCATACCGAAAACTCTTTGCCCCAGCTAAAATGGACAAATTAGCTGGGACAGAAAGAGTAAATATTAATGTGTGAAATAGGATGTGGGTTTATTGTTGCATCCGATAAGGAGATAACCCGTTTCAAGCACATTCTTGGTTGGGCGGAACCAAAATTTGACGAAAGAGAGGCTGATTTTTAAAAAACTTTAAAATAACATAACCTATTTATTATCAGATAATTCTATTATTCGAGATGTCATATTTTAAAAACCTTACAAAATAACAAACTATGACAACATCAACTACATATTGCAATATTTATTATTGTATTGTTTAAACTCCATAAGTATTTTTTATTAGAAAAAGAATCACTTAAAAAAAGGAAAAAAAAAAAAAAAAAAAAACTTTAAAGGTGTTTGATAAATAGCTTTTTCAATTTAATTTTTTTTATTTCTTATTTGTCTTTAAAACATTATTATTTATTTCATATAAATAAAAATATATTTTCTATTGCAATAATTATCAATTATTTTAATATATTATTTATTAAATTATAATTTTATTTTTATAATATTAAATTAATTAATTTTTATATAATTAATTTTATTTGTAAACTATATATATTTATTAAAATAAAATAAAAATAAAAACATAAATATTATTAATTTATTTTTATATTAAAAGTAAATAAAATAGAATAAATTTATTACAAATTATTAATACAATAAATTAATCAATAATTAATATAATAAATATATTTACAAAAATTTTATTATTTATATATTTTACATCATTCTTAATAAAAAAATATTCATATTTCATATTAAAATATATATTATTTTTCTCAAATTTAAAATTAATAAAATATATATATTTTATAACATATTCAAATAACTAATAACAAAAATTTTAAAATTTTCAGAACTAAAAAAAATTTAAAAGCTAAAATATAAATATTTTTTTATTGTCATTTTACGTATAAATGACTAATATGAAACATTTATTTTACCAAATACTTTAATACAAACAGTCAAACCAGCTAATTGAATAAGCTAAAAGCTATCGGCTAATTGCCAAACACACATTTATGGAAGATTGTTTCTTTTTCGTTGGAATTTTTTAATATTTTTAATTTTTACTAAAAATTAATTTTATATTTAAAATATCACATAATATTTATTTATATCACATAAAAAATATTTAATGTATTATTCAAAATTCAAATAAACACACCCAATATAAACTTTAAATTTATTCTAATTTTTTTATACTATGTATACATGAATATTATATATATATATAGGGGTGGGCAAAAAAACCGAACCGAATCGTCGAACCGTTGAACCGAACTGAATCAAACCGAATTTTCGGTTAACCGAGCAAATTCGGTTCGAATACAAATACTGCATATTTGATATTTTTTCGGTTCGGTTCGGTTTCTCATATTTTTTTCGGTTCGGTTAACCGAACCGAATATATTTATGTATTTATAATATTATATTTTAAATTTATATTAATAATTATATACGGTTCGGTTTCGGTTCGGATATTTGAAATATTTGCAAATATTTTTTATTTAATTAGAATTTTATTTTTTTTATATATATTTTTTCTTAATTTAAGTTCGGTTCGAGTTATTTGCAAATACTACAAATATTTTCGATTCAAATACGGTTCGTTGTTTCGGGTATTTGTTCGATTCGGTTCAGTTATCAAATACCTGCATATTTGCAAATAACCGAATCGCGCCCACCCTCTATATATATATATATATATATATCTTAATTTAAGAAAATAAAGGTGTAAGATAGGGGAGGAGGGGCAGCTCCCCCTAGCCGCTACCTGCGTCCACCCCTGGTTGGGCAGATTATTAATTGCTTTTAGAGACTATGTGTTCGATTTTGGAGATTAACCTTTTCAATCGTTATTGTTTGATAACATAATCCTTCCAGGTTTTAAGTGATATTAATGATGTTTAATGATTTATTTAAATTTAATTGTGTTGAAAAAATGACGAAAATCTTTTTTTCTTTTTATTTTTGGCATACAACCAAGTGGCTGGTTTGTTATGAAAGTGTTTAATACGATTCGAAAATTCTGCAACACAATAAAAAAGTTGACCGAGTAGTCATCTTTGGCTTTATCAAAAGATGCTTACGGCCTTACTTAATGTGCACTTTTGGATAGCCATTACGGATTTCTACGTCATAAAAAAAAAAAAAAAAAAAAATGTTTTACACCCGATGGATTGAGAAAATTCGAACTGTCTCATGTAGACAAAATCTAAATGAAGACAAAGGTGTGTGACACGACGTTTGAATGGCATTTATCACGTTGGACATGCCGCGAAGTGACACACAAATCAGAATGGTAAAAAGTGTGTGTAGTAGGTATATTTGAATAGAGATACAGTGAGAGGAGAGACAAGTGAGTTTCTCACAATTCTTGTGCGAAATTTTCTCTTCTCACTTCAGAGAGTTGAAAGGTGTTTAAATGGAGTTTTGAAACTATCCAAAAGAAGGAGAAAAAGAACTTTAAACGGAAGGAGATGACCAATATGAAGACAATATTACGCAAAACTTGAATGTGGATCAACTCGTGTCGTTGCGATGTAGTAATAACTAGTCCGTCTGTGTTTGTAAAACAAATTGAAGTTTCGGTAGATGATAGATTGGGTCGATTTATTTGGTATCTTACATGGTTTAAAAACCTAGTGCTTGATTTATTGAACGACTCTTGGATTTGTATCCTCAAATGTAGATTTCAACACCAACTTGGTCAACAAATTGTGTTGTTTGTTCTTATTTTGCACATATTTAGCCATAGAATCATGCACATATACACTGTAGTTTCAACCATGAGATAATCAAGTGTTCAAAATTGTGTTAACCATCGATAACTTCATTATTCGTATAAAGTTCAGAGGCATTGGGCCTCTTTTGGACTGATTCGCATATACAAAAAAATGATTACGGAAAGGCCACAACTTCCTTAATTTAATTAGAATTTATTTGTGAACGATGGACTCAATAACAAGATTATTGCCAATCGGATCCAACAAAACCCCAAACCGACAAGGTCAAACAACCGAAAACCTAACTCAACTAATCGACACGCCAAAACTCATGAAAATGAAGACTTACCAAAAAATCGAAAAGAAGAACGGTTGTAACTTACCAAAAAAACAAATCAACATAATATATAAAATTACCAACAAATATAATGGTAATATATATAATTTGTGGGCCCACATACAAATACTTTTTGAAAATACAAAAGAAAAAAAGAAAAGTCTCACATGTGTTCGATGCGAAGTATATGTAAATATATATGTATGTATATAGTTCCGTCTTCGATATCATGTCATGACTACCGAAAATACGAGATTTTAAGAGAGATATAATTAATAAATAATTAAAAATATATTAATAAAATTAATTACAATATAATACAAATAATTTTATATTAATATTAAAATAACTAATTAGTTTAACAAAAATTTTAAATTTTAAAATATAATTAAAATGTATATTTTTTTCAAAAAAGAAAAATAACATTACACGTGGAACAGATAGAAATAAAAAATGTGACATTATATATGGAACGAAAGAAGTATAATTTATTTTAATCACGTAAGAACAAGTGTAAGAACAACAATTTCATTACTCCCTCCATCCCGGCGTAAAATATATATTTACTTTTTATACGGAATTTAAAAAATAAAAGCATTTTAATTGCAATGGATAATTGAAATTAGTTTAAAGATATTTTTCTTTTATCTTTTAATGTAAAAAGTAATAAATGTTAAATATGTTAAATATATATGTATATATATATACACGTGCGTGAATATTTGTATTATTACTAAAGTGAGAAATATATGCGTTGTTATAAGACGAACAAAAATAACAAAATGTACACTTTAAGCGGGACTGAAAGAGTATTATTATCATTACTATTATTATTATTTAACTGGTCTGTAAGCATTTTATTTTTTTGTTATTATTTATTAATGAAGTAACAGTTATATATATCATATTTTAAATAATAAAAGAAACAATTAAATAGTAAAAAAAAATTTGTAGATTTGGAGTTTAAGTTTGAATTTTGAATAATTGTTTGATACGATATTTTTAAAAATATATATATATAATAAATAATAAAAACCTTTTGGGAATTCAAAAAAAAAATAGTAAAAACTCAATTTTTATTCCGAGTTTGGACATAATCTAAAGAGATGAGAAAATAGGGACCCCAGCCAAAGTATAGCCGCCATCAACAATGAAAACATTCCCGGTCACATATTGAGGCGACTCATAGATCAAGTATTTCACAATTGATCCCAATGCTGAATTAACCGTCCCGAAAGAGTGCAACGGGACTGTTCTCACGATCGCATTCTCGAGCGACGACTTCTGCATCAGCTCCCGAGTTATCTCTGATTTTAGAAGCCCCGGCACGATCGCGTTTACTCTTACATTGTACTCTCCAAGTTCCATAGCCATTACCTGCATATATATATATATATTGATAGTTGATTCCCTCGTATATAAATAAATAAATTATGACTACCAACTTAATCTTTTAGGTAAAATCATCATTTAACCTAATATCAGAGTCGAAAAATTTAAGATTTTAGACTTTGTTGTTTGTCAATCAACCAATTTGAACTTTTTCTGTGTATTTTGAATGTAAATTTTAGTTTAAATAATATTTTATGTGACATTTTATTAAAGAAAATAGTATTTTTCTTTTAATTAAAAATAGTGAGAATTGAACAATAAAAAGAATTATAAAAAGAACAAAGCTCAATGTCTAGTAAAATTAGATCTTGTGGCAATATTTGCAGAAAATAAAGACCCTCTAGATTATATGTTTTTCTTTTATCTACGATATTAAAAAAAAAAAAAAAAGTTTGAGAATAAAATTTTTCAAGTATTTTCAAACTAAAATAGTTAGAATAGTGTCATTATGTTCTTTATAGATAGCATAATAGTATACTTGATGTCAATCGATTTAAAAATTTGAACAATTCTCTCATCTATTAAAATTATAAAGCACCATAACAAAAATGTTCAAAGAGAATAATTCTTAATTTACTAAAGAGAAATAGTAAAATTTATATTTAATCTTAATATTTTGCGAGGCCCCGAACCTTAGTGATTGTGTTGAGGGCAGCCTTCGAAGCAGCGTACGCATGGCCACCGTGAAACACCACGCGATCAAGCGCCGCAAGGGATGAGACATTAATAATGGAACCCCCGAGACGAGCCTCGCGCATACGGCGGCACACACATTTGGACACCAACCATGTCCCCGTCTGGTTAGTTCGGATAATCTTGTCCCATTCCTCGCATGATAGATCTAATGGACCGTGGAGGCGTTCTAACACAAAAATAAAATAAAATAATAATAATAATAATAATAATAATAATTATTATTATTATTATTATTATTATTTAAAAAATTGAGTGTTTGTATTCGATCAAATTATTATCCCAAACTTTTCGAAAGGAAAAATTGTAAAAAATATCATTGGCGTATACCCAATTATCATTTTTATCTTTTATTTATCTCGCTGATAAAATATATTCTATATGTTGGCAAAAGTAGCCATCTTTGTCCTCCGGCTGCGAGTAGAACAAACAGCCGTCATGTGAACATGAAGTATGGTCGAATGACAGAAATTGCGATTTTTGCAAATATATATAATATATTTTGCTAACAAGATAAATAAATAAATAAAAAAAGATAAGTAAGGGTGTGTTTGTTTGGCAGATTTGTAGGATTTCTATTATTCACTAAATTTTTCTCCCTAAAAATATTAAATCAAACATCTATTTTTTTTATATTATACTAAAAATCAATTAATTGTACATTCAAAACATCACATTAACACTTATTTATATCACATCATACAACTATTTCAATTTAAAATTTTTACTATTCAAATCCAACTCAAAGTCCAAACTCCCAAACAAACACACACAAGTATACATGGAGGATATTTTTTGTATCGAGGCAAGAAGAGTAAATGGAAAATAGGCAAAAAAAGTGAGTTCTACTAACCTCTTGCGCCGGCATTGTTGATTAAAACATCGATTTTTCCAAAAATGTCCCATGCCTCATTGACACGGCTGGCAATGACCTTCTCGCTCGCGCTGATGTCGAGCTCCACGGCCACGGCTGTAGGGCATGCTCGAACAGGCTCGCCGTAGGCTGTCTGTGGAAATATCTCGTTGATTTTACTACAAAGTGATTCGAGTCGATCAGCGCGCCTGGCTGCCGCTATAACTCTGCATCCGGATTCGGCTAAGTCCAAACAAAACTCCCAGCCGAGCCCGGACGACGCGCCGGTTACCATTACAACCTTGTCGAGTTCGAACCATGGCTCCATTCTGTTCTGTAGTTCTACTACAGTTGCCATAACTTCAGTTCAATGGAAAAATTAAGACAATTATACCCAAACAATGTAAAGTGGTGTTAGGGATTTATAAGTGAAGCCTGATAAGAAGTGTACAGCCTAGTGATACAATTAGGGTCTTCTTGTCATGTATAAATATATATTCCGTTCACGCAGCGTTTTTAGATGAAACAATTTTTTTATGTATGGCATGAAAAATTATGTAAAAGATATAAAATAGTACTCTCTCCTTTCCAAAAGAGGTGTCGTGATGGGGAGAGTAGACACTGGAATTAAAAAACAATAGTATTTAATTAAAGGCGGGTAAAAAGTAAAATGTAAATATCTAAAATACCGTTGCTTTTTTGAAGGGTTTTAAAAAAATTAGTTAAAACAATAATTGGGGTAGTTTTAGAAACATATGAATAATTTTGTTGTAAAGTTGGAACCACAATTATTAAATAAATAAATATGACAATTGTTTTGCGGACTAATGAAAATAAAAAAATAATACAATTCTTTTGGGATTGATAAAGTATCTTATTTTAAGTTGAATATTTGACTTTCTGATTTCTTTAATGACTTTTTTACAGTATTTTGACTATTTGACTTTTATTTAAAATATTTTGTATTTTTTATTACTTTTTCTATAAAAAGTTGTTAGAAAATAGTGATGAAAAAACAGAGCTTATAATTTCAACCATGTATATCCATTCAAAAGTGATTTTTTATTATTATGGTAAAACATAATTAATATACAACTTTAATTTTTATAAAAATATTTATTTTATTTGCAATTATAAACACAAATTATTTTATTTACATAAAGGGATACATTAAGTGGTGCCGAAGGGAGTATATTTTTATTTTTTTTTCTTTATTTATTTATTGGTATTTTTTTTATGTAATTTCTTAGGATCCATTTGGTTGGATGAATTTGGAGATGATGGATTTGAAATGGTATATTTAGATTACTTCGGATTTGAAATACTTTATAATTAAAATTCAGTAATTGATTGCAAGAAAATAACACTGTTAGAAAGGTTATTTGAAATATTAAAGATAATGAATTTGAAATCTACAACTATTTTTTAAGATTTATATCATAACGTCAAACGAAACTAATGAACATAGTTATTGGAAATATCTTCATCCAAAGATTATATTACCAAATAGGTTCTTAATATTATTTTATTTGAAAAAACTACAGTAAAAAATATATAATTTGGCAACCTCCCAAAAATTAAATAAGTTTGAATCAAACTAATAACCATAATTTTTCTTTTTTTTTGGTAACAAGCATATAGAAGAAGCAGGGTAGGCAAAAAAATCGAATCGAATCGTCGAACCGTTGAACCGAACTAAATCGAATCGAATTTTTGATTAACCGAGCAAATTCGGTTCGAATACAAATACTGCATATTTGATATTTATTCGGTTCGGTTCGTTTTCGGTTTTTCATATTTTTTTCGGTTCGGTTAACCGAACCGAATGTATTTATGTATTTATAATATTATATTTTAAATTTTATATTAATAATTATATACGGTTCGGTTTCGGTTCGGATATTTAAAATATTTGCAAATATTTTTTATTTAATTAGAATTTTAATTTTTTTATATATATTTTTTCTTAATTTCGGTTCGGTTCGAGTTATTTGCAAATACTATAAATATTTTCGGTTAACCGAAATTTTCGGTTCGAATACAGTTCGCGATTTCAAGTATTTATTCGATTCGATTCGGTTATCAAATACCTGCATATTTACAAATAATCGAACCGTGCCCACCTAAGAAGAAGCATTGCCATGGGGATTCACACATTGAATTTATTTATATTAATATCTAGAAGTTAGGTTCTTTCGTTGTCAGCAACAAGACAAACATAGAGATTAGGAGCCACACCTGGAGATCTGAAATCCATAAATAATTTACTACAGAAATAAATAAATAAATAAAAGAAGGATACGTGTAGGCAAACCTAACTTCACACAGAAAGGAACACAACACTTGGCTGAAAACAAATACTGAAATTAAATGAAAAAAAAAAATATCAATACGGTACCATAGCGAAAATTGCAAAAAGTATCTTCTACGTTATACTTAATTATCACCCTGGTCTTTTAAATATTATTCTAGCAAAATATATTTTACATATGTCGTAATTTTGTTATTTCAGTATATGCGTGAATTTTTATCCGAGTCACACTTACTTGCATTTCATGGACACCCTAGCAAAATATATTATGTATACAATATATCAAAAAATACTAAAAATATCATATTTTTATTATAGAATTTTTTTCAATATCATAGCGAAAATTGTAAATAATATTATGTACGTATACTTAATTATCACCCTGGTCTTTTAAATTTTATTGTAGCAAAATATATCTTACATATGTCATAATTTTGTTATTTCAGTATATGCGTGAATTTTTATCCGAATTACAGTGACTTGCACTTCATGGACAGCCTAGCAAAATATATTATGTATATACTGTATCGAAAAAATACTAAAAATATCATATTTTTATTATAGATTTTTTTTTGCAATACGATATCATAGCGAAAATTGTAAATAATATCATGTACATTATACTCAATTATCACTCTGGTCTTTTAAATATCATCCTAGCAAAATATATATTACATATGTTATAATTTTTTTATTTTAGTGCATACTTGAATTTCTATCCGAGTTACAGTGACTTGCACTTTATGGACATCCTAACAAAATATATTATATGTCACAATTTCACTAAAAATATCGTATACATATTTTTGAATTTCTATCCGAGTTACAGTGACTTGCACTTTATGGACATCCTAACAAAATATATTATATGTCACAATTTCACTAAAAATATCGTATACATATTTTATCTATCAAATATTGTGTTACATCTCATTCAATAGTAGCAGCACGTGGATTCGGCGAGATGTGAAATTCACGCACAATTAATATATGAAATAATAAAATTGTGACACTTGGAGGATATATTTTGTAATGGTAGCAATTAAAAAATAATAGTGATAATTAGGCATATATACAAAATATTTTTTATAATTTTTCCCAATATCATTACCATAAATTTTCGTAGGATAAAAGTATAAATTTTTGTATACATCTCTATATTGTTACTGTACCAAAGTTCAGGTATAAATTGGTATCATACTATCGTTTATATACCAAATAACATAAAGTAATTAAATGAATTAATAAAAACAAATAAAAGTAGTAGTATTTATATTGTTATTTTATATTTTGATAACTAAAGGCATTTTTTGCCATATTTTTTATTTCAGTATTTTCAATATATTATACCAGTAATCACTACAAGAAATTATCAATTTTGTAACGAAATTTTTTCGTTCCTAAATTCACTTTTTCCGTTACTAATGATATTAGAGACGAAATTAGAGATGGAATTACGTAAACTACGTGAACTTTAAGAACGGAATTCCGTGACAAATATACTATTTTTTTTTTTTTGTAGTGAATCTATGATACACAGGTGTTTATTTGGGGATTTCACTACAAAAAAATAATATATTTGTAACGGAATTTCGTCCCTAAAGTTCACGTAGCTAACGTAATTCTATTCCTAATTCCGTCTCTGATGTCATTAGTAACGGAAAAAGTAGATTTAAAGACAAAAAAATTTTGTTACAAAAATGATTTTTTCTTGTAGTGTTTAGACTTTGAGTTGAGATTTGAATAGTAGAAATTTTGAATTTGAATAGTTGTATGATGTGATATAAATAGGTATTGATGTGATGTTTTGAATGTAAAATTAATTTTTAGTATAATATAAGAAATAAAAAATAGGTATTTAATTTGATTTTTTTGAAGAGAAAAAATTGAATGAATAGTTGAAATCTTTACAAATCCTATAAACAAACACAACTTTCGGTACGACATACCAAATTTTTGTAAATTGGATACAAAAAAAATCATTATAGTATCGATATAAAAAAAATTATATCATTATTTTTTTGTATAGGGAAAATTATGGTATTGATATTGCACCCTTATCTTCAATATGGTCTACGAAACAACAACGTAAAATTTTTGGTATAATGTACTCGTATCATCCTGAGTAAGAATCATATGGTTGTGTGTAAGAAAAGGATTGAAGAAGAGAATATATTTTTCTTTCTTTGATTAAATGTATCACTACAAGAAAAAATTATTTTTATAACAAAATTTTTTTGTCTTTAAATCTACTTTTTCCGTTACTAATGACATCAGAGACGGAATTAGAAATGGAATTACGTTAGCTACGTGAACTTTAGAGACGAAATTCCGTTACAAATATATTATTTTTTTGTAGTGTATTGGGACAATGACTTCGTAATAGATAATATTACAATCAATTCACTACAAGAAAAAATTATTTTTGTAACAAAATTTTTTGTCTCTAAATCTACTTTTTAGTTATTAATGACATTAAAGACGGAATTAGGAATTAAATTACGTTAGCTACGTGAACTTTAGGAAAAAAATTCCGTTACAAATATATTATTTTTTTTGTAGTGATTACTCTTGTTAATTTTTATCATTATGCTAAATTTTTGACCAATTTGTGTGTTCAAATATGTTTAGAAATTGTTTTTTTTTAATATATTAAAAATAGATATTTAATAAATTAGGTGTTAGAAGAGAGTTTTTCGCTTCAAATTAAAATTAACTATATTCATCTTGCACAATTTTCAGTAAAAATGGTATTTTTTTTTCCTTTCGTAAAATATCACATCAAAATATTATTTGAACAAAAATTCAAATCAATATTTCATTTCAAATTAATTTCAAACCACAAAAAAAACAACAAAACAAACTTATACAATATTTTAAATAAGTCTTTGATATTATATTTTTTATGAATATTTTTAGAGAATTTTATTTTAATGAGCAAGAGAATTAAAATTTTAAATAATTTTAACCTATATTATTTGTTCTCAACATTATTCCCCTCTAATTAGTAGAGGATAAATATTGAATTGAAACTTATCCATCTTGCATCTTGTTGTAATGAAGTGACAACCTACTTTTTAAATTTCTAGTTATATGGTAAAAATTTAAACAAAAGGAATAGAAATTGAGATGAGCACACATGAAAGTTTTATGGACAATTCCGAAAAAAAAAAAAAATATCTCGGGGGCTCCCGTCGTTGGTGTTGGGCTTGGATGTCACTAATCCTCCATGTTTCAATTCGACTTCGCAATATACACTACAAGAAAAAATTATTTTTATAACAAAATTTTTTTGTCTTTAAATCTACTTTTTTCGTTACTAATGACATCAGAGACGGAATTAGAAATGGAATTACGTTAGCTACGTGAACTTTAGGGACGAAATTCCGTTACAAATATATTATTTTTTTGTAGTGATAACCAAAAAAAAAAGATTAATTATGTTACAAAAATGGTACAAATATGTATATATATATATATATTTATATATAAGTCAAGAAAATTTTATTACACAATTCGATCCAAACTGATCTAGGTTTGGGAGTTGTTGTCCAACTAAGAATTTCACTATACTCACTGCCAAAAGAATTAATAAGTGATTACATCAAATGTAATAGAAATAAGATATATTCTCTCCATCGGCCAAATGCATCATTTTGATTAAAAAATAATATATTTTATTGGTTAGTGAAAGTAAGTAAAAAAAATTATGATATTTTTGCTCTTTATATTATACAAATTAATAAGGTGTGTATTTTTATTTGTAATTTAGATAAAAATAAAAAATATATAGTATTAATGTAGATTACTCTTACTACAAGTATACATTTTTCTGATAAAGACGAAAAATAATAAAAATAATAAATATTATTGAGATGAATAAAGTATATAAGGTTGAAATTCTAAACTTATACTCCCTCCGTCTATTTTCTAATGACCTATTTGGTATTTACACGTATTTTTAGGCAATTAGAGTTTTTGTTATAAAATGACAAATTTGCCCTTAATCTTGTTTATAAAAAATGAAAGAGTAAATAAAGTAAGGGTAAAAGAGTAAATTTTGTGTATAAAAATAGAAAGATGAGTTGGACATTCCAAATAGAAAAGTAGGACGTTAGTTTGTGGACGGAGGGAGTATTTAGCATGGTTACAAAATTCTAACTTTATCCATAAACTTTACCCTTTCTAATTAGATTTCACAACACAACAATCTCCTTTTTAAGAATAATTGAATTTCTTACTTTCACTTTTCAATGCCAATGTTAGCTTCGAACCCTTTTTTTTTTTTTATATAAGGTGCAAACCAACAATCGCTATTTTTCGAGTGCGTTTTAGGTAAACATCCGGCCAGATTTAATAGCCTATAAACTAAGTCGGTAAGGCAAATCAAATAAGACTAATTGTATGTGATAAACAAGACTTGGAGACTATGGAGTTATTATTAATTATGAATAATTAATATAAAATAAATTATTTAAACTAAAAAAAAAAAAAAAAAAAAAAAAAGATAAAGGAGATGAAACAATGAGTCACAAGTTCTCAAGAAGAATTTTAATTTAAATAAAGTAATCTGGTCAACTTACATACGAAATTATAAAATTTTCAGCCAATCTCATGAGGACAATTAATTTCTTTACAAAGCAGCAACTGTTCTTGATCACTTTCCACAAATCAACCTATAAAAAAAAAAAGAAAAATCAGAACTGAATCGTCCATATCAATCAATAAATTAATTTCTATGGCAACCAAAGGGGAGATTCAAAACAACAAAATCGAATTTGAGCCATGGTTGGAGCTGAACAAGGTTGTAATGGTGACTGGTGCATCCTCAGGTCTTGGCTGGGAGTTTTGCTGTCACTTAGCCAAATCTGGATGCAGAATTATTGCTGCAGCTAGGCGCGCTGATCGACTCGAATCGCTATGTAATAAGATCAAGAATGAGTTCCCACTCGCTAGAGCTGTCGCAATAGAGCTCGACATAAGCGCCACCGAGGCAGTCATTGCAGCTCAAGTAAACAAGTCTTGGAATGTCTTTGGAAGAATCGACGCTTTGATCAACAATGCCGGTGTAACTGGTAACCTTGCATTCGCGGTTTATTTACGTTTTATTTTTATTTTATTTTTTTCTTGGTAACTCTTGTTAAGATATTGTAATAGTGATATTGGTTGTCTTCACTTTTGAGGGGATATGTTGGATTCAAGTGTTTGTTCTTTTTAAGATTTGGGTTTGAAGTCGGAGTTTGAGAATCGTAAAAATTTTGAATTGTAAGACTATTCACGTCGAAGAAACTATCTAAAAGTGTCTCCCCGTCTACGCATCATACATTTATTATAAAAGATAAAACAAATGGATTTTTTTTTTGTGTGTTTCTTTGCAGAGAAACCCAAAAGTCCAAATATATATTTTTCTATTGTTTTTTTGTTGATCGAATAGTTTTGAGGGGATATAAATAAAGGATTGATATAACACTTTAAATGAAATAAAAAAAAAAAATGAATATTTGATTTAATAATTAAATAAATAAAAAGTTAATGATCAATAGCGCTAGACCAAAACCAAACCTAAGTATTGATTCCTTTCAAGGTTTAGGTTTGGATTTAGGGTTGAAAATACTAAATATATAAATTGAAATAATGTTTGATTTGATAGAAATAAATAGCTTATGCAATATTTGGAATTTTTTTTTTTATTTAGTGTTTTAAATAAAAATAATTGTTTGATTTTACCAAATACCAAACCTAAGTGCTAATTCCTTTTATGGTGTGGATTTGGACTTAGGGTTTGAGAATACTAAAAATTTAAATTGAAATAATGTTTGATTTGATAGAAAAAGAGATAATGAATGTTGAAAATAATCGTTGTTGAATCTGACCTCCCAAGATCGAAGATCAATAAATAGTGCAATATATACCAAAATCAAATACTACTAAAAGAACCGACTCTAAATCTTTTTGTTCGATAGGAAATCTTCATGCTCCCTTGGATCTATCGGAAGAGGAATGGGACAACGTTATTCGAACAAACCAAAGGGGAACATGGCTAGTGTCGAAGCTTGTGTGCAAGAAAATGTGTGATTCCGGGCAAGAGGGCGGATGCGTCATTAATATATCCTCATTTTCTGCCGTCAATCGGGTTATATTTAGTGGCGGTCATTCCTATGTTGCTTCTAAGTCCGCTATCAACACTATATCGAAGGTAATTCTATTGTCCATTTTCTTCCGCGCAATCAGTATATATGTTAAAACATTTTATTGTAGAGTATAAGGCTTAGTTTGTGTTGGGGTTTTTTTCTTTTTAAATTTTTATTTAAGTAGTTATTAAATATGATATTTTATAAATATATATATACTACATCCATCTGCCTCTAAGGGTCACATTTATTTTTTTGCGTAATTTTACTTTATATTATAAATATCATTATATTTATATAATTTATTTTTTTACAAATGTCCTTCTATTAGTATTATAAGACACTAATAAAAGTATTTTTGTAATTTTTTTTAATTTGTACTATGGTTTGAAATAATAATTAATATTCAAAATAAATGCGCAAAAAATAAATGAAACCCTTAGCAGACCGAGGCAATATATATTTTTATTGGATATCGTGAGAATCGAACAATAAGAAAATTGGGGGGGGGGGAGGAGAATGGGAATAAAGCAAACCCTAATGATTTACAAGAAGCATTGTCACAAAGAAGCAACCTAACAAAGGTAGGTAAAGTAGTTGAGTCAAGTCAACCTAAAAACCTTGATTTGAACCTACTTGAATTTTTATATATTTATTATTTTAAATATTACTCGATTATCATTGTACTATTTTTAAAAATAATAATAATAATAATAATAATAAAAGAAGTTGACACAATTGTTTTTTTTTTTTTTTTTTGCACATTTGAACTTCGACTTAAAAAAAATCACTTCAAACGGATTATAAATTTTAACATTTTAACTGGTCTGGTTCAAAAAAGTATGAGTTTTTTAACAACTCATCCCGAACCTCGCCCAAATCTAGACTCGTTTTGTTCGATAATTTTCAAAATTAATATAAATAAATATACAATAGAAAGTCTATAATATATTTTTCTCCAAAATTTCTAAATTATAAATCTTAAATATATATATGTATGTATTTCCAATGTCTGAAAATTATATATTAATTTTGTTTATTGATGTTTTTCTAATTAGAAATCTTTGATATCTTTTTAATAGATTTTGGACACATGTTATAATGTGGACATGTAATAATTTGTACTTTCTATCTTTTATAATTAAAAATAATATATACAAAAGGAAAAAAATATATATGATTTATACTAAAAATATATATGAATAATTTTTTATGACATTAAAAAAAAAACAGTAAAATATTTTTTTTATGAAAATTGTGTATTATTTTAACTATTTTATAAATTTTTTGTATTTCCATTAAGTCTAGTTTAAAAGTTAGAATGATCATAAGAGTAAGCCATGATTCTAGGTTGTCTTCTTTTTAGGTTGTTTAACTATATAGTAATTTGAATATGATATTCATAACGTATTTTTACAGAATTCGAATGATTGTATAATAAAAATAAAAAAATAAAATAAACTCGAGCATAACATACCGTTGGTTTCTATTCTCATTTGATTTTTTTTGTTTAGGTTATGGCAATGGAGCTCGGGCAATATGGTATCCGAGTAAATTCTATATGTCCGGGCATATTTGAATCCGAAATAACTAATGGTCTAATGAAAAAACCATGGCTGAAGAAAGTTCTTTCAAGAACAGTTCCTTTAGGAACTTTTGGGACAGTAAATCCGGCATTAACATCGCTCGTAAGTTACTTAATCCACGATTCTTCCCCATACATCACTGGTAATAATTTCATCGTCGATGCCGGGGCCACTTTGGTTGGTGTCCCTATTTTTTCATCTTTGTAAACTCTTCTTCATTGTTATGTTTGTAGTGTGGATTTTGTGTTGTTTCTTTCATGTTAAAGAAATCATTGGGTGTGTTCTTTTTTATGTATATATAGGTTAGAATGTAATGTTTTTTGAAAAAAAATAATAATATACTTTTATCAAAAATAAAACTTAAACCAAACTTCTAAAATAGAGCTGCCATAAGGCGAGAAGAACGTCCAGGGCCGGCCTTGAGCATGGGCTACACAACCCCCCGTCCAATGCTCCAATGTTTTCGGCCCCTTTAGGGCCCCAATTTTCACAAAAATAAAAATAAAATAAAATAATCTTCCGTCTATAAAAATTACATTATAATTAATATTAAAAATATCATTATATTAATATATAAAACACTAATATATATAGGTTTATTGATACTAAGTTTTTATAAATATAATTATTTTAAATATATAATAGAAATATATAACAGAAGCTCATTATAGTTTATATAGTAATTAAATAGATACTATTTATAAAACATAATTGTTAGGTTTAACTATTAAAATTATCAATTTTCAAAGTTGATTATGATGAAGAAAAAGTACACAATAAGTCACTTTTCTTTTTAATTTGTAATTTGATTTTTTCTTTTTTCTTGTTTTTTTTTTTTTTGCACTATTTTATAGAACGCATATTTATTTTTTCTCTTAAATTTACTTTGAAATTTGGTAAATTGTTTTTTATTCTCGTATTTGACCTTTTTTTTTTTATCATTTCAAGACTTTAAGTGAATTATGTCTGAAAATAATCTCATAAGTAAATTTTTTTCGCTAAAATGGTTATCCAGTATCGGACTCGCCATGTTGGCTGTCGTTATTGACGCGGCTGACATCTCATCGCCACGTAGATGTCACGTCAGATGACCATTTTTCGAAAAAAATTTACTTGCAGGATTATTTTCAGATAGAGTCCATTTTTAAATGTCCTAAAAATGATAACAAAAGGTCATATACGAGACTAAAAAAATAATTTAGCAAGATATTTTGTAAAATAAAAAATAAAAAAAAAATCACGTTTCGCTGACTTTGTGACATCTACATGGTGATGACATGTCAGCTGCGTCAACGCCACGTCAACAACGGCGGGCCAGCGTGGCGAGTCTGGCACCGGAGGACCATTTTAATGAAAAAATTTTACTTACGGGACTAAATTTCAGACATAGTCTACTTAAAATCCTAAAATGATAAAGGGGGTCGGATACGGGACTAAAAAATTAATTTACAAATTTTATATTTCGATTCATAAATTTAATATTCCAAATTCATTCATAAATCACATACATTTGTAGTTTGGTTTCAGATTTTTTATTATGCAAAAATTACATTTCACTATAAAAATGGATCAATTTAGCTTACAAAATCATATCCAAAATAATATTCAAATCAAGAGCCAATACCAAATTTAAAACAAATGCAATCATAAGTTGATGGAATTTTCTAGAATATGTAGAATTGGTATAATATTGTAGATATTCTAAAACATTTTTCCTTAATCAATTGTAGCCACTAAATGTAATGTATATTAACTATCCTTTGTCTAAGGAGACATGTATAAAAAGGATACTAACTATGCATCACTCACCATAACAATTGAATTTATTTTATTTTTTTTATTATAGGTTTTTAAGAAATAGGAACATTTTCTTCTCTTTAAATATTTTTCAAATTAAAATAATTATCTATAATAATAATAAGTGAGAATAAATTCCGATTAATTTATTTGGAAACAAAGAGTGGAGATTGTTTAGGCGCTCTCATAGACACGTTACTAAAAATATCTAATAATATTAATACGATAGATACATAAATAAATTTGGAAGTTGTCATAAAATTAATTTAACTATTGAAAAATTAATAAATAATTCCTAATGAGTTTGATACGGTAAAAAATACATTCTAAACAAAATGTTATAATTAGTCAAAAAATTTGCTATGGGGTGTCAAAAAAATGACTCGAGATAAAAATGGTCCAATATTTGAAAGCAACACCATTGCTCGTTATGTTTGCTTCATTTATGGATCTTCCTTAATCTATTATGCCTACACTGAGCAAGAGTTTGATTTTTTCGCAACTGAGATTAATGTGAATATTGGCAACCGATTGAATCAACGATTAAGAAATAAGTTAAAAAAGAAGAGGCTAATCCTTAAGAAAGAAGAGGAAAAATAAGCACCTAAATGACATTGAGTCGTACAAATGAATGTTACGACATGGAGTTGTATGAATGATCAAAGGTTGATATCAACGATGAAGGTCAAAAGTAGCGTGTGAATAATATATATATAAGATGATCGAAGATGTCGAACCTTTTAAGGGTGCTAGTTTATTAGAAAATATATATTATATTTATGATATTTGTTTTATTTGAGATGTTTGTATGGTTTTTAACTTATTTAGATAATTTATATATTACTATAAATATATACAAGTTTTTAAAAATAGATAATTTCAATTTCATATTCTAATATGGTATCAAAGTCAAATTTTTTTTTCAAATACATTAATTATGATCTGTTATATCTAGTGTTTGTTGATATGATTGTTTATATATCTATTTTTATCACGTCGTTGCCGTCACTTCAATCTCCACTAAAAGATCGATGTTGATATTTTATAGAAGTTATACATTCTACATATTTAAAAATATTAGTTATATTTTCTTCATTCAATTTGAAAATATACATTTATTTTTGGCATCGGATTTAAGATATAATAATATTTTAATTACAATGGATAGTTAAAAAATAATTTACAAACAATTTTATTCATGTTTTTTTTGGTATAGAAATAATTATATGATGGTAGAGTATTGGTATTTTATAAAATAAATAAAAAAATCATAATATTTTTGAAATTATTACTTTGTTATTAGACAATTAAAATAGAAATATGTATACTTTGTGAGTGGAAAAATGTAATATAATTTTTTATTCAATTTATCAATGTAATATAAGATAAATATAACACATTTCAAACAAATGTGATTTTCTAAAAATGGTTTATTTTAATTTTAACATAAATCTAATATAAAAAGTAAAACCCTTATTTTGTTTACCTTTTTTTAAAAAAAAAAAAAAAAATTGTGTTTGTTAATCATTGGTATCATTACTTATATGAGTGTATTTAGTTTGAGTTTTAAATTCATATTAGTATTATTAAATATATGTGATTTTTAATTAAAATATACTCTCTTCGTCCACTTACAAAGTTTACATTTACTTTTGGCGCGGTGTTTAAGAAATAATAGTATTTTAATTATAGTGAGTAGTTAAAAGTAGTGTAATGACATTTTTGCCCTTCCTTTTTTTGTGTAAAAGTAATGGTGTGATGTAAAGTAAGGGTATTTATGGAAAAAAAAAGTAGGGTATTTAATAAAATATTAACTTTGTAATTGGACGTCCCAAAATAGAAATATATAAATATTGTAAGTGGACGGAGGGAGTAATATATTTCCTCACAGTATATTAAGTTAAAACATTATTTAAAATAAAATTAAAATCAAATCTCAATAGCAATCGCATTCTCAATCTCAATATCAATCTTAAATCAAAATTAACCGATTATAGGGTTTGTTTGATTGTGATTTAAAATTGATGTTTTCTGAAAATATATACTTCTTTCGTCTCATAACTAGGTATCTATTTGCTTTTTGCACGTAATTTTAAAAATATTAGTATTATATTGAGATGTAGTAGGAATAAAGTAGAAATGACCTTATTAGTATAGTGTGATATAAAAATGACATTTGTGTAATATATTGAAAATTGTAAAGGTATTTGTAATGTTAGATAGATAGTACAGTTACTAAAAAAGAAAATGAATACTTTGTTATGTGACGGACTAAAATAAAAAAATGAATACTTTGTTATGGGACTGAGGGAGTGTATATATATATTTAAAAAATTCAATACTTTAGAAAAAAAAAATATTAATTTATATAATTTAATTATATTATTAATATAATAAAACTTAATTCAGCAGCACCTGATCTTAACCCAAACTCTATATAATTATATTTGGTTTTATGGGTATTTATTTTAATATCTTTATTATTCAAAAGGTTTTCTAGATGAAATTAATAACTATATGAGTAATATTTTTCACGAGAAAATGAAATCTAGGAATTGATATTTTTGAAAGAAAAAAAAAAATTAATTAATTAATAATATAAGAAATAACTAAAAAGTGAGGGTAATATTTTAGAAATGGTGGACGTAATATTTTAAAAATATTTAATACTCCCTCCGTCTCCATTAAAGGTTACTATTTTTCATTTTTGTCCGTTCTAAAATAAGGTTATTATTTTTTAATTTAGTAATTGTACTACATACTTCATATAATAAATACTCTTTCAACTTACAATATATTACACAAATGTCATTACTTTTATATTTCACCGTACTAATAGGAGTATTTTTGTCTTTTTTACTACAATCCAATATAATACTAATATTTAAAAATCTACATGCAAAAAACAAACGTCACTCTTACTGTGGGACGGAGGGAATATAATATTTTTAAAATAATATAAATCGGTAAAACACCACAAGTGAACAAGCACATATAATATGTATATAATATTATTAATATAACTTCAAATTTATTAAACACACTGTGGAATGTCACTTTAATCTTTTATTTAAAAATTAATTAGGGAGCCACCAATTCGTGCTACAAATTAAAATAACTTTTTTCACAGTTTTTTAATCTTCTGTCACTTTTATTTTTATTTTTATTTTTATTTTTATTTTTTTAGGATTATACGTCTTCATCTTATTTTGAATTTTTTAAATTTTAATTAAATTAATTAATTAGATTAATTTTAATCTATAATAATTCATAGTATTATAAAATAATTATTTTCATCAATGTATTTTTAATTATCTACAGTAACAAAGACATCCAGTGTGAAATGAAGGGAATATAATAATAATAATAATAATAATACTTTCTTCGTCTCATAACAAAAGTATTCATTT